ATTTACCTTTACCGTACCAATAAGTGTGTCTGACGACACTTTCGTAGCCGTACAATAATCGATTTTCTCTTCGGTGACCTGTTCTCAATGTATTTCTCCATATTATCAGGAACATAAACCGTTCTTACGTTTTCAAATTTAAAAAATAGAAAAAAAAATTAGACGTCATGAATTGGTGCCCAGTAGGCTTGTAGTCAACCAAGCGAATATTGAAAGGGACAGGCCGGGGGTACCGGAGACCGAAGTCCCGGGGAGGTGGGTGCTTGTAGAGGTCGCGGGAGTTAATGTATCGGCAGTGGTAGACTGAAGTAACCCAAGTAATTGTCTGTAGCCTGTGGATCCTATCACACTTTTCATGACCTTAGCTCCGAGAATGGTAGGTGAAAAAGAAGAGGTTTCGAGCACCGGAACATTTAGTTTCACTTAATGAAGGCGAAATTTCGAGTTCCAGGTGTATGCATAAGTGAAGAAGAAGAGTCAAGAACCGGAATACTTTGTTTATTGTCCTGAGCTTTCGGACTCGTGCAGAAGTCCATCGTCAGAGATAGTGGCAGCAACAGAACAAACGACAGTTATGGGGCATGTAGGCCAATCAACGACCGACGGCGCAAGACTGGACGTGACTGCGCAGGCCTCTATACGCCGACGCCAGATCGATAAATCGATTGACTGAGTTCTCATCCGAGGCACAGACTTCAGCCAACTCTCGGCCTGTCTTGTTTCCGGCGTGGACGACTATTTTGGTGGCTGTAAAGTTAAACTCGTGACCCATTTCGCAGGTGTTGATGGTCACTTGTGATAATGCGTCGCTACTATCTCTGACGATGGACTCCTGCACAAGTCCGAAAGCTCAGGGCAATATACAGAATATTCCGGTGCTCGAGACCTCTTCATCTTCACTTATGAATGCACCTAGAACTCGAAATTTCGCCTTCAATCGAGAATCGATCGTATCATTTGTGTTCTCATCATATATATCGGTGGCTGAGAGCTTCACTCGCTCCCGATGACGTGTCAATTTGTCCCAACTGAAAGGGGCTTTACCTTTCTAGCAATTATGCAACACCACACCGACCGCTTATCGCAGGCCAGAGGTCGGACGTCAGTACCTTCCTGCGTTGGAGCTTACGTTTTGGGCATTCGCATGCCCGCGCTTACATGCATGGTTAGGGCGGCAGATCATACAATACCGACCCCTTACGGATGTTTAGCAAACTAGCAGATAACCACCCCGTAGGCAATCCGACAGGGCTTCCTCTTGGCATCCGTTTGCAGGCCGATGCAGGCACTACACTGCAAACAACTATTACTTTCCATGGCTTGAGCTCAGAAGGTCGAGGAGCCAATCATTGCTTTTAAGTCAGCTGCCCCAATCGTAAAATCCCCTATTACCACCAATGCCGTATGACAGGATCCACAGGCTACCGACAGCCAATTAGGGTCTTTCGGCCTACCATTGTCAGTGGTTGCGCTGCATAGACGGCGCGCGCATTGTCGAAAGGTCACAATCCGACACCTCAACGTGCACACGAACTGACTTTCCACTTCCGCAGCTTCGTGTTTTAGGATGAAAAAGTACGATTTAAACTTTAATGTTCCCTTCGCTGTGCGAAGGCCTAGCAGTAGGCAGTAATTGGCGCTACGGAGAAGTGGCGGTTTAAATTATGCAGGAAGATGGGAGTTCCAGTCAACCTCTCAGTCCCGACTAACCTGCAATCAAAACGAGGAGCATAAACAGCGCAATTCTCGTGCATGTCGATTCCGGGCATCGTGTGGACTCCAACGAAGCTTTTCGTGTGATTTATAAGGTCCCAGTGAGCTACCCTAAGCTACTAGTCCAGCGCCTGTTAGCGACAGCAGAAGCAGCCGCCATTAGGTTACAAAAGCCAGTCTTATGCGCACAGAAGAATTACTTTCAGGCTCCGCGCCTACAGTGGTCGAAGGTCGACTAACGCTGCAACTCTCCGCGCCCTTCCGCTCTCACCCCGCCCCTGACACTGACTGCTATTAGCCCCCTCCCCCACATTCCCACACCCAGCCTGTGTCTCAAGGAGAGCCTTTATCGATTTCTCTTATCGCTGACATGTTTTACTTCCACCCCGTTCCCATATACCTGTACTGGCCCGACGAGAATTTATCAAAAGCTACGTATGCTCGCCACCTCGTTTTCTAACTTGCAATCGTCGGGGTGGGGGTGTCGGTTTTTGCGTTTGTCCCGTCCCGATGTGACTGTAAGATTGTGTAAGAACGGATCAGGAGGAAACCTCTCACCGGGAGGACATAAGATCAGATGCGGGCACTGGCTATAGGATTGTCGAACGAGAAGTTTGAATGTGGGCACTACTTCCTCGTTCAGGACGTGGGCGGATGCGGCCCAAAGACGATTCTCCAGACTAGCTGTAAAGGCAACTTAGGCGGAAAGGGATTTATAGCGCAGTCCTTAAGTGCTGCCGGAGTACTAGCGCAGAATTACAACAGATCGGTCGAGGTGTCTGACAGCAAGGCGGGGAGATTCGGTAATGAATACGAAGAAAAAAGACTAGGTCTAATTCTAACGCGGTGAGATGCGCGACTTTAGCTGAGAATAATCCCAGCGCCCGATTTTAAGATTCATTTCTTACGAGTCGCATGCGAGATCGAGCGGGAGGAGGGAACGAGGATGGTCCTTACAAAGAGCCATGCTGGAGATGCGTTGGGTCGAACCGCAGGCCAGGTCAGGGCGCGACATGCGCTAACGCAGCTGAGTAGGGCCCACGCACCGCATAACAAATGCCATACACTGAGGGTGCGGAAGGAATATTTGGGCGCAGGCTCACGCCGCTCACATCCCAGCACCAGATGACTAACCGGCCTGGACATTTTGTTTATTGTCCTGAGCTTTCGGACCCGTGTAGGAGTCCATCGTCAGAGATAGTAGCATCAACAGAACAAGCGACATTTTTAGGGCATTTTGGCCAATCATCCACCGACTGAGCAAGACTGGCGCGAGACTGCACAAGGCTCTATACGCCGGCGCCAGATCGATAAATCGATTGACTAAGTTCGCGTCCGAGACTCAGGCTTCAATCAATTCTCGGCCTATCTTGTTTCCGGTGTGGGCGACTATTTTGGTGGCTGCGAAGTTAAACTCGTGACCCGTTTCGTAGGTGTAGGCGGCCACTTGTGATAATGCGTCGCTACTATCTCTGACGATGGACTCCTGCACGAGTCCCAAAGGTCAGGACAATAAACAAAATGTTCCGGTGCTCGAAACCACTTCTTCTTCTTCACTTATGGATACACCTGGAACTCGAAATTTCGCCTAACCGGCTTCGACAGTGAACTGACGCACTAGGGAAGGGAGAGAGGGAGAGATCGGGTGTGTGAAGTCCACCCCCAGGACATTTCAGCGCATCCCTCATCATAATTAATATGACAAGCTTTAAAACCATCACGACGAGATAAATTTGGTGACTTAGAGGGCTACCAACTGACAGGATTACGCGGTCCTCACAAAGCAGTGAGTCAGGCTGCATTAGCTTCTTTAGGTGACCTCTATGGCAGCTCGATGGGATCCGAGCCGACCGCTTACTGTTCCTACTAACATTTGATCCATTCTGCGTGGATCGGGTCTTGTGGGACCCAGGTGGGAGGAGGAGAGAGTGTGGTAGATGCTGCTCAAGTATGCTCTCACTGTAAACTATTTCACGCGCAAGTCACCATGCCTGCCTCACCTTGCTGTAGAACAGACGGTGGATATTGTGGGGCACAGCGGCCGAACTATTATTCCGCCTACATTACATGTCGTTGTGTGGCTTTTGGCGGGCTCGGGAGAGAGACCCAAGGCACAAATGGACGAATGAGTTCCGCTAAGCGATCAGTTCGCGCCTCTCTACCATTATTACCATGCTCGATCGCAACCGACAGGACAACGGTAGTGTTATTCTGTTTCTATGGTACTACCACTTAACTAAGATATAAATGGCATCATTGTCGAAGTAGGTGATCTATTGTGCAGGAATCAGATCGGTTGTGACATGCGACAATGCCCGTTTAACTTTGTCAGTCACTGCTTCAAAGCCCGCCCTCAATCAATGTGACATTCCCTTGCCATGTATTACCACGAGGACTGTGCGGTAGATGCTACGCAAGTCCGGAGCATTATAACATAATTTACGTGCAATTCACTGTCTTGCGCACACTTCATAGTGGAAACATCGTAGACTTTGTCGAGTATTATGGTTGAACTGCATATTTGAATGAACATATGTACACTATGTTTCTAATAACATTTTATCCATTGTGCGTGGATCGGGTCGTGTGGGGCCCAGGTGGGAGGAGGAGAGAGTGCGGCAGGGGCTACGCAAGCCCGCCCCACTATGAACCAATTCACGCGCAAGTCACCGTGCCTGCCCCAACTTGCTGTGAAGCACACGGTGGACATTGTCAGGCACGACAGTCGACAGAGGTTCCCACGCCACGTCTACCGTCTGGGTATGTGGATTTGTAAAGTTTATAGAGCTACAGACCGCCCTGGAGTCATCTGGGTGTTCACAATCATAGTTTCGAAGAGGCATATGAACTTCTCTGGCGGCAATTACACGAGCGTGTTAATAGGAAGGAACTGCCAGACACAGATGACGGACAAGAATGCTATGCTATGCGTGGTCGCGGTTTGTCTTAGTATGAAAGGAAAACGCGCTCTGGACGGGCTCACACAGAACTCGTTTCACGAGCTACGCGAGCTCTATTGGAGCCCTGATGTGGTCAGTGATTCGAGCTCGCTAAAACGAACCCCGAAAACCGGACTTGCGAGCTCGTTCCGAGCATGACCCGAGCTCAAAAAAGCGAGCTCCGGCGCTTACACAACCAGGGATCCCCTCCCTTGTGCTACCCCACCGCCTTTAATTTCCCCCAATATGGCCCATTAAAGTAATCAAAGTATTACATGTCAATATAAAAAATACTATATTCGTAAAAAAATACAGCACATCTGGTGATGGTTTGAATTAAATAAAGCCTTAAGGCTGTTGGTCTCCATTTTGAGGCGTTGAATCGTCGGTTGTTGAATGGAGGTCTACAAGGGAAATTATTCCACAAGGAACAAGTGAACACAATCTGGACGTCGAAATTTACTACTAACATGAATATATAATTAATTACCTTGTGTTTGTTGGCTAGTGGAGGCCCTATGCCGCTTCCTTTGGTGTCTGCCATGTGCTATTTTGAAAGCATTTTTCAATGCACTTTCTAGTTTTTGCCGGTCCGATTTGTGCTCCTTACTCCATCTGTTGAACACCTCTAAAATGCAATTGTTCGGTTGGACAAGTCGGAAGTCCTACCCAGGATGACTGAATAGACAGGAGTTTCAAACAACCCCCTACTACCTGGTTTTCTGCCGTAGAACGTCAGAAAAGCGGCCACGTCTTCCGTGAAGAGGGTAAAGAAAAGCCTTTCAGCAAAAGCTGATATTGTTTCGCCTCCTATGGAGGACAAGTAGGAAACCTGAATCCGGTATTTATATAAACAGACAGTGTTTACCAATTGCAGCCTGTACGTGGCGTCCGACACTGCTGTCGTCAGCTCGTCATAGCCGCTCATTGTGCTAACTCTTTGCACAATTGGCCCTTCAACAGCTGAGGGCTGCGATGTAGATGCCGTCAGGCGACGAATCTCCTCACGAAGAGCAACCAGCTCAGCTTTAATCTCATTAAGATCCAGAAGGATCTGTTTGATGGCTGACATCATCCAGTTTGACCTTTATCTTCGTTTTCTGTGTCTACGATCGGACTGTGAAATCTCACGTCGATGTCGCTTTCGATTCGCTGTGCTAGTTATGGGTGCCACATCTAAAATGTATAGATGTATAAGCAAAAGAAAAGCTTACTGGTATGACGGGGAGATAATCCCTCGAGTAGTATGGCGCTGGTGTTTGCGTCCGAGGACGATCCCTAAAAGGTAACTGTGTCGCTTGGCTTTGTGAACCTTACTGATGATGTGTCCGACGACGACATTTCTCTCACCTGTTCGTTGATTTTTCGTATTAGTTTTTCTGTCTCCCTACGTGCTTGACGCCGGAGATTACGCCTGCTAACAGGAGTAAACATAATTGCCAGTAGAAGGCAACAAAAAAATTTGTCGAAGACGGGTCAGGTAGGCAATGGGAGCGTTGAGGCAGGCACGGCGTGCGGACTGCAGCGTGGGAAGACAAAAAGTGGCACCGGGGAGAGCGTGAGCACTACTGGGCGCCGAATCTAATCGATAAGCAAGTGCAAGTACACGCGGCCGTTTGCGCCCTTCGCGACGCCGGCGCAGCCGACCCAACAACCAATCAAATCGCGAGCTGGCTCAAGACCCATTACCCCCCTCGAGTACGCTAGCCCGCGGCGAGCTGGCTTGCTATTAGGGTAAACCCGCTTTTCTGCTGTAGAATGTCAGAAATCCGGCAACGTCCTCCGTGAAGGGGGTGCAGAATAATTCTTCAGCAAAGCTGCTGTATTTTCACCTCCCATTAATGACAAGTAGCAAACCTGCATCCGGTGTTAATATAAATAGACGCCACTTACCAAACGCAGTCTGTACTTTGCATCGGACACTGCGGTCGTCAGCTCGTCTTAGCCGCTCATTGTGCTGATTTTTTCCACAATCGGTCCCTCATCAACTGACGGCTGCGATGTTGATGCTGTCAGGCGTCGGACCTCCTCACGAAGAGCCACTATTTCGACTTTACTTTCATTATGATCCAATAGGAACTGTCTGCTGGCTGACATCGTCCAGTCCCTTATTTCTGGCGTTGAAAGACCTTCTTCGTACGTAGACGCATGAGAAGGCTCCAACGTAGAAGAGTGTCCGTACTCGAACGAAGCTGAGGAGTCAGATTCGTCAGTGAAGCTGTCTGACGAACTCGAAGATGATGTGTCCGACGACGACATTTCCTTCACCTCTTCGTTGATTCTTCGTATTACTTTTCCTGTTTTCCTACGTGCTAGACGCCAGCGATTACGTCCGCTAACAGAATTCAACATAATTGTCACTAAAGGGCAACAAAATAAAAAAACAAAGGCAAAGACGGGTCAGGTAGGCAATGAGAACGTTGAGCCATGCACGGCGTGCGCACTGCAGCGTGAGAGGGCAAAAAGTGACGCCGGGGAGAGCGCGAGCACTACCGGGCGCCGAAGCAAATCTATAAGCCGAGGATGTCAAGGGTAGCACACAACCACGTAGCGGGATACCGGAAAGAGATCCTGGCCTGCATTGATCTGAATACGATTGTTAGTAGTTCACGATACTCAGCCGTACATAAGGGAAGAATAAACGACCAGTGAACGAGAAGATATAATGAACAGAAAAGAGAATTAGAAAGGTGTGTAGTGATAGTTAAAAGTACAAACAGGACGAGTAACAACCATTGAGTGACCTGTCTGCGGGGAGAAGCGATACCAACATGCCAGCTAGTAAACCGGTGGGGAGCGCAGCGCTGTGGGCAACTGCAGGGAGGGACCGAGGGAGGTGCCAACGTGGAGAGGAGGAGAACGGTGCAAACGTCACGATACGATACGGGGAAGGGGTCGGCGGAAGTGAGAAGGAAGGGGCACCGGTCATCTTCACCGGCACGCGGTTACGCCATCTCCATCCTAGGTCCGCGCGCCAAAAAGTGTCACAGCGCTCAATCAAGCCCGCTCAGATCAGGGGACGTTACACCAGTGCAATTATACGCGGCCGTTAGCGGCCTTCGCGACGCGGACGCAGCCGACCCAACAACCAATCAAATCACGAGCCCGCTGAAGACTCATTACCCCCCATCGAGTACGCTAGCTCGCCGCGAGCTCACTTGCTATTAGGGGTGTTAGGTCGTGACACCTGATTTCCGTGACATCGCAACCCGTAGGAGTCTTGATGCAGGTTTGCATGTCACTTTAGGAAATGTCTGCCGCGTCCACAAACCCCAAATCGTGGCCTATCTCAGGAGCTTGGCATCGCCCTCGTGTAATGAAGCCACATTAACGTGTAGTCCGTATGTGTTTGTGTTTTCGGTGAATAGAGCGCTCTGACAGCGTGACCCATGTGTTTAAAAAACCAGTTGCTGTATGCAGTCTGGAAATCGGCCAGCCACGGCTTAATTGTATTTAGCTGAAGTTTGGTATATACGATCTCTTGTGCACAACTACAGCTTGTCAATGGGTCATTCGGACAAAAAACTCCGCAGGAATGCTTCTTAAGTGGGCTCAGAAAAACGGTATCAATCCACCTTGCACTTGCATGGGGACCTCAGGGTTTCGTGCTTGTTCCCCCGGTATCACGCAGTGGAGTGAATGGAGTTCTAGCACAACTGCTTTTGTGTGCCAACAGCGTCATGTTGGCTGTCATCATACTCATTTTGCCGTTGGGTTCGCCATTCACTGCTCACGTGATGAAGGACGAATTACTACTGTAAAACCGATTGTGTCCGCATATTGCGGTGCTGTCCTGGTCGTTGTCGACTCAAGCGAGTGAACACGGAGGATGAAGCAGGCAAACACGATAGCACGTGGATACAGACGACAGAGACCCCTTATAGCACTGGTTACGCAGCGGATTGGTCATTATCTGTTGATGAACGACTGTCTAAACGGAATTGGTCTCCTCCTCCTCCTCCTCCTCCTCCTCCTCCTCCTCCTCCTTCTCCTCCTCCTCCTCCTCCCCCTCCTTTTTCCCCCTTTCCTCTATCCTCTTCCTCCTGAGGCCATCTTCACAGGGAAACGGAAAAATCCGAGCGGAAATCTTTAAACCGAACGGATGCGGCCATCAGCTGAATTATGGTGGCCAGCGCTTACTGGACCTACTATGTGACGCGTTTGTTATCCTAGCTCCGGGGTGTAGGGGTGTCAGCGGTGGGTTCACGTAATGGTCGTGGTGGTCGCTCACTTGCTTGCAGGTGAGACTGCGCCTAGCGTCCACTTGCTGGCACTCAACTCTCCCCTGTGGCTCCACGTAGCTGGACTCTGCTCAGCGGCCACACCCCGGGCAACCGTCTCGACCGGCGGGCTAAACCAGGTGAGGGGGCCCTGTGCGCTGTGCCGTGTGCACGGAGTTTGCGGATTCCGCTGGATGGAAGGTCGGATGGAACCTTGCGTCGGCACCGTCGTGACGTGGTTCGTCTCTGCACTCCGCTGGACAGCCGGTGACGGGATGGATCTCCACATCGACATCGCCTTTACGCGCCCACCTTCGCCGACGGAGACCGCGGCTTACGGCGAATTCGAGTCGCTCTCCATGGTCAGTCGACCATGACAGCCACCGCGCCCATTCCCCACTCCAGTCTGCTGACCGGCTCGGACAGCGGCTGGGGTGTGGGAGTGGAAAGGGAGAGTGAGGTCGACGACAGCGCATTTTCCTCACTATAATCAATCTGACGCGCTTGAAGCTATCACGGTGCGCTAAAAGCCGTGGCTTGGAAGGTTGCCAACTGACGGGGTATCTTGGACCTCCTCCTTGACCGGAGGCAGTCTGAGAGTCAGGCTGTAATGGCTCCTTTTTAATGTGGCCTTTATGGCACTCCCATCACAGTGTGGGATCCGAGCCAGGCGTTGGCGGCACGCCCAGGTGCGGCTTCGGCCGTGCCAGCCTCCAAATCTCTGTTGTGATTGGTTGAAATCCTGGTTATTTGTTGTGTGGACCAGGGGGTGTGGTGGAACGCCAAGGTGAGGATCCGTCCGAGCCATCCACCTGCGGCCTCTCTCGTCTTCGGTCTTCTTGACTCTGCCTTGACACCGGGCTCGGGCGAGGGAGGAGGAGAGAGTGTAGGTAGATGCTACGCAAGTCTACCGGCACTATAAACCCCTGCGCAAGTCACCGTCCCTGCTCCCATTGCTGCTGCAACAGTGAAGCACACGGTGGACATCATCGAAACCGATGGTCGAACTGACTGATCCTAGCTCCTAAAATTACTGATTAGAAACTTGTTTCTGCAGCCGAGAGAGGTTTGGAATAAAAGATAACCGAACTTCATTAAGAATGATTTCAAAGCCCCAATCAAAGCGGTTGTTCCGGAACATCCAAGTGCATCGGCCGACTGTTTTTTTTACTGGCATGAGATCCTGGTTTGGTACGCTAAAACAAGTCAGTCGGCATCCCGCAACTCATTCTCTGCACCTTTAATGCCTGTGTCCTCGCGTTGGATCCGAACCAATGAAAATTCCCAATTTTGTCTGTGTGATAGTCCTCAACTTCGAAAGCCACTTCTCTTTTATACACTTCACCGGAGAGTTTGTTGTACTTGTGGACATCTCTTGGTACGCTTTGACTATTCTTTTCTGGGGTAAGTAATGGAAGTGTTGCCACCTTGCGGCGTAGGCCCAACGTTCGCGATTTGTGGGGTGACTTTCACGCCCAGCCAATCAGACAACAGCATTATTGACTTGTCGCGTACACGAATCCTTGTGTGCCGAATAGCCAATTAAGGCTGTTACTGGTTGTGTGCGCCTGGTAAGAGCATGCGAGCGGTGTGGGGCCAGCTTAGCGGATGCAAGAACGGTATGAAATTGCCTCCAGTGCTCCGTTTGTCGTCGAGGCTTGCCAGGCCACAGGTTCTACTACGGTAGCGTTTGCTCTAAACGGCAAGTCCCAGATTGGCAGTTCACTGGAGAGGGAGAAAAAGCAGTCAAGGATAACTACACACAGATTGGAAAGATTAGCAAACTCAAGTACAGGCGAAAAAAACTCAGTGACGCCATCCCACAACCACCAGTTGCCTCTTCCGCCCCTCCTACGTGCCACACACCGTCACACTCCCACCCTTGTGGTCAGAGGCGAATATTTACGTCGAGGGTAGAGGATTAAAGTTTGGTGAGACTCACGTATGACGTGGGTGGAGCATATAATCAAAAACATTCCACTTGGCTCCCGCCGAAACTCGAACGAGGTCAATGAAAAAGAATTTTAAACAAACAACAGAGCGCTAGTATAAATATAATACTCCAAGTTCGGTAAATGTAAATGAGATAGCATTGTGATTGAGGAAACGGGCAGTCAACTGTTAGATGTTTGACGCCAGGGCACTCTCACGCATGTGAGGAGTGTGCGTGTGTGTTTACCTGGATAGTGCCTCTCAGCCGATGACTGATTGGTTACCCAGTTTTTGAAGGGTGATAGCTCAGGCTAAATGAAGGGCTGCGGAACTTACAACGAGCCCCATTCTATAGGCAATATGTGGATGACATTTTCGCCATAATCAAAAAACCCAGGCGACGGAGAACTACTAATCAAGGCTCTGGACAAAGCACATGCAAAAATCAAATTTACGATCGAGCATGAGAAAAATGACACACTACCTTTCCTGGATATTCTTGTATGTAGGCGGGCAGATGGCTCTATTCAGAGGTCCATCTATCGAAAACCCACCTGGAAAGGACAATACATGTACTTCCTCAGTTTCGTTCTTATTCAGATAAAACGGAACTTGGTTTTGTGCCTGTTCAACAGAGCCACCAGAATCTGCTCCTCAGATACCATCGATGACGAGCTTACTTTCCTAAAGAACGTTCTTCTTGCAAATGGGTATCCGGAGAAATTCATCGATAAATATCGCCATCCCAGACAAGGTACACCTGAAGAAATATCTGTACCAAAAAGTCAGTGACCATCTACCTCCCCTCTAAATTTTTGTTCATAAGCACCACAACGGCCATCCCAGTTAGACATTTTGCCTACACACGCCATATCAAACTGTATTTATGAGTTTACATGTAGTTGCGGATGCAAGTACATTGGGCGCACGCAAAGGCGGTTGGCAGCTCGGTCAGCTGAACATATGCCGAAGTGGCTGCTTAAGGTGGAAAATAAGGTACCCAGGAGCTCAGTCACAAAGCACCTAGTGGACACGGGCCATACGTGGGACCCAATAGTTGCATTCAAGGTCCTGTTTCGGGCGACAACCGGACGTATCTTGCGCTTTGCAGAGGCTGCTGCAATACGGAGGCGGAAACCAGAACTCTGTAAGCTCTTGGACCACGTGATAAACCTAACACTGCCATGGTAAGGATCGATAATGGACGAAACCCTGTTCCCATATACACCCTCTAATTTCACCAGGGACGGTGACTTGCGCTTGAATTACTGCATAGTGATAGTAGACTTGCGCAGCACCCAACACACTCTCTCTTCCCACTCTCCACCTGGACCCGGTATCAAGACAGAGTCAAGAACACCGGAGGCGGAGGAGGGCTCCGGTGGCTGGCACGGCCCGACCCGCACCTAGGCGTGCCACCCCACCCCCTGCCCCACAACATACACTTGACCAGGATTTTTCACTAATAACAACACCCCAACAGGGGTCAGAAGGACGAGGATGATGACTGGGCAACCATGCCCACCACTTGTATATCCAGCGCGAGCGCACGCGCATCTACCGGCAGGGAACCAGGTGTCAGGGAACTTCCAGCGCATAACTGGCTGCGAGGGCCATGGCTTTTCGATACTGGCATATCACACGCCTTCAGACCTTTTGAGCAATTGTGCGAGAACGCGAACTGCACAGGCCTAATATCGGCCGCATAGGAAGGTCAATGCTTCCTGAGTTGCATCAGCAATTGTACAACTCCGAACAAACATTTCGGTGTCGAGTACAGGTCAGTGAGGAGATGCGTAATTCGGCCCAATAAACTCAACCTACGAGTGCGGCTAATCCAGGTGAAAAAGGCGTCCAAATCCCCACATATTCACCCTCCCCCCGCTCCCCTGACTGACGATCGCTTCGGGCTTCTGAAAATTCCAGCCCTGAAGGGCAATAAAAGTCGTTTTGGGGCATGTCGAGTCGGCTCAGCTGGAAAAATTCACACGGGTTTAGTCCGAATAGCCGAACTGAAAGTTAGTCAAGGTAACAGGCTAAGATGGGAAGAGGGAAACGTCACGGGTTAGCGGAGGGTATAGGGTGTGTTGGTGGGCCGAAAAAGGAGACAAAGTCCCTTATTACAGAACTTGACGATGCCTACCTGGCCCATGGCATAGATAGGTGTCCCTTCGATTATTAAAGAGCAGGGAAACAAGCCCAGGTTCTAGGTTGAAATAATGTTACTAACTTGGCAGGAAACACTCGATCTGCAAGTTACCAATCTGAAAAGATCAATATTACCAAAAGCTACCCAGTGGAGCGGCAATGATATGTGCTGTGCAGACACGTGTTTCAAATGCGCGCCCGTGACTGCCAAGAACCACTGCGGTCGATAACGATGACAATATTAGCAAGGACTACCATTATCATTATTCCGGGAACGGTGATAGTTGAGGCGTCGGCGACTGTTACAATGTGGTGAATTATGCAGGTGAGCGCTGATTAGTACGAAATAAGCGCAACGGTTTCACGACTGTTACAACCCGCCAGAGTAGGTATTTCCGATCGACCCCAGGCAACAATTCATCGCCGTTTGATGCAACCCAAAGACATGCTGATCAGATTGGGAACATTGGGCGACTATGTGAAGAAGACACTTTTGGCTACTACCTGTGCTATTAGTACGGAACCACCTTACCCTAAAGCATACTACTAACTGCCTGTCGGCAGGTAATTAATATTACCGGGTTATCCGCTGTCGTTGATGGACTTCGGCCCAAATATTCATACATAAGAACGTTGGTCCGAGCCTATAGACCATAAACATTCTGATATACTCCATGTTCGCAGTTAATTTCTAAGGAAATAAAAATGCAACAATTTCTAAATTGGAGTATCTACCAGAAACCACACAGGGAATGCTGGGGGACCCACTGACAAGCGAACCCCCTTGTAGCCGTGTCATGAAGCGGTAGAATATCGGCGAAACACGCGTGTATGGACCTCCGGCTAGTACCTGTGCTGTTAGTATGGGATCACTTCACCCTAAGGTATTAAAATGCTTATGTATAACTATCACATTATCTTCAGCACGGAAACGCTTTAGAATGCAAACGCTCATCAGCTGGCGTATTTATATGAATCATACTAGCCTTGATAGTTGAAAATTCCCTTATTTTGTTTCTCGCGTCTCAACTAAACTCCCAACAAATTAATTCCTGGTCACCAGATCATACCGTGTCAAATTCAAAAAACGCTTCTGCTCAGAAAAGACCAGGCGTATTGTCCGTACGTAAAACTGCGACATCGTAAATAGGCGATTCCTTTGATTTCGTCACCACAGCAAACCTACTACAACCCTTCAAACTGCAAGGCAGGCTTTCTGGAAGTGTTTTTCTTTGATCGGGGTCGTCGAACAGCAGGACAGCCTGACCGTGGTGATTGCAATATCGTTGCTTGGGAAAAATCCGAATGTTAGGAATCACTCCTGGCTCTGGTAGACGCTAGATATCTCTAACATTGTTATTACCGACAAAGACAAGGGAGACTGGAATGGTAGGGGGCGCTCACCGATCGTTCTTACGGAACTCATTCGTTCCATTGTGCCTTACGCGTTCTCTCTCGAGCCCAACCAGCAGCCGCACGCGGCGCATGGTATAGGCAGTATGCTATTACCGACAAAGAAAAGGGAGACTGGGATGGCCATTTCTGGCTTATTAGCCATCGTCAGTCAGTCATACCCAACCCTGAAGTGGAACGCCCGAGGCTCGAACTCGCGACCTGTTTGTTTGAAGCCCACGCCTCTAACCACTGGGTCACTAGCCCGTTGTCCTGTCGCTTTCGATCGGGAATATACGATGGTAGGGGGCGCTCACCGATCGTTCTTACGGCTCGAGAGAGAGAGAGCCCGCAAAGCACAACGGAACGAGTGAGTCAGTTGAGGGTGGTAAATTGCCCAGGTGTTGCAGTATTTATAGGATGTAGTTGTTAGGTCGTTACATGCCCACATAGTTTCTTCTTCTTCAATAGATTCAAAGGCACGCGTCCATTTTTTCTCCAAGTATGCTGAAATAACTCTCCGAGAAAACCCAGGTTGTCGACCGTGGGTTGAACACAGACGCCATCATTTCTACAGACGCATCAGTAGGGCGGTTTCCTTCCCTCGACCGGGCGTACACCGACCAGGCACGAACAGTGGGTCTTCTGAATGAAATTGTCTTCTTCTGATTTTCGGTTCAACTCGTTGGCCTGACGTACCAGCAAGGTAATTCGCATTTAAACGACGCCAAAACCAACTAGGCAGAGGACGTTGTCAGCTCTGCAAGCCCCGCTCACACCTCAAGCTTCAGCTGATAACGATGTCACGCAGAGGAGCCGATGAGTCACAGCGCACTGGATTCACCGGCGCGGGCAGCACATCGCATGCGGCACATACCGGTCAATCAATAAATCGATGACGCTGACGCAAGCCATCGAAGACGCACCACAAGGAAGCGCCCACGGCCCCACATGGCCGGCCGCGTCAATAGCCAAGACGTTGCAACTTTTTAATTTCCTCGGAAATTAATCGCCAACATTTAGTAAATCAGTCTATTTGACACTTACAGACTCAAACGGTAGTACAGGGTGAAACTCGTGCATTGAAACGACACCCCCTTTTCGAATCGGGAATTCGGTCTATGGCCATGGTGATTAGCGTACTGCGATTACTTTAAGCACAACGTCAATTTAACGGCCCTTACCCCACAACGCTTCGTTTTTATATTTGAAGGCGTCGTTTACGTCTACGGACGTGCTCTAACTAGTCTCGCCCACGGGTATGCGCTCAGGTGATGGAACGCTATGAACGATAATAATTATAGCAGCACACAGTGATGGCCAAGACAACTTCAGGTCCTTCAGTTTCCTTCTATTCAAATCAGCTATACTTTCTGACACCAGAGGAGATGGAGGACCAGTACGTTACACTAGCCGGGAGGCGGAGTACTGCCAAGTCGACCAGTTAAGTCAGATTCGTCCTCCACCATACCAGCTCCCAATATTGGGAACCCTTGTTTGAAAGTTCGCTTGAGCTATTCAGCTAAAACAATGATATTGGATTGCCGGATGCCCAGAAAACGTGCTCTGATCATTAATTATTCCAAATATCCCAGTTTAACAGGATAAAACGTGTTCAAATACATAGGTCTGCGGGTTGAAATTATTGGTGCTTCAGAAAAACTGTAAACAGCATTATCGACCAAAAGCTAACCCTAAATCAACTGCCACGATAAAAAGAGTCATTCAGGGCAGATCAAAAACAAGAGAAGATGTCTGCGCTCCATTTAGGTATTTTAAATTTCAGTGGAAATGGCGACCGTATAAGACATAAACCACCCGCATCCAGACGAAACGCAACTTGAAGTACTTAAGTAAGCAATACAAGCAAGTCGAATTCATCAAGGCGTTTTCCAGCAACATTGCCTGCGGACAAGAAAACCATGCATTTTCTCCATTAGTAAAAAAATAGGGAAGAAAGTAAATGCAAATAAAGGTGCCTCAGGTAGAAATGAACATAGGTTAGAAACGCATACATATACATATACGTATACCGTCGACAAACACGGCGCCGGTCAAAGAAGCTCAGTGAAAATGAGGCAAATTAGTAAATGAAGAAAATCGGGCTGAGTCACAGACAATCACATGCAGGCAAACTAGAAAATAATAAAATTCGTCCGGATCTGACTCTCGGGGCACATGAGACGACGTTGGTGTTCCACATCTAGGGCATTTTCCAACTGCCGTTTCAGCAACTTCTCTACCAGCTTGGGACTGTTCATGAAACCAATATCGGGAAGGCAGAAGTTGTCGAAACGTTTGAACTGAGCCAGTACCTGGTCCCGAGGTGAGGGCGCAGGCGGTTCTGTCGCAGTCGTCTTCGTCACCGCCGATACTGGCATCTCCTGACCGTCCGTCTCCGCTGCTGGCGGCATTGTGGTCGATGCTTGCTCGCCGCTTACAGTGACGTCTGGGTTCGTCGTACTGAGTCGTTTTTTCTCGGAATCATTAGCTTCACCCTCGGAGGTCAGGTCGGAATTCTTAGTTGGTAGGGAACCAGTGGAGTCACGAGTCACGTCTCCACCGGAGGATTTGGAGGCAGTACCCTCGACAGCACTCAACTGGAGGCTGAGGAGCGTCATTTGGTGCTAGAAAAGACATAAAAGTTGCAAGTAGCAACAGCACTTTTTATGTTAGGACCTACGTAACCGGCCACATGCAGCTGTCTGGATAAAACACTCGGGAGCCAAAAGACAGAATTAAAACGGATGCACGAACATCAACGCGAGGTTTTGTGTGCGTTGAAAAGCATCCATAATTTCCAGACCTATGCAGATATTCCATACGTAATCGAGAAAAAGCCCACAAACGATTGGTCATTTAAGACTTTGAGCTTATTATAAAGTACTTTATTCTGCAGTCTGCAGTCTGTTTATTCGTAATTCAGAAACGTAATTGACATAGTGCTAATGGTTTTGGGGCCAGATGTGGCTATGTAGTCGCACCTGAGGTAAACAAAGCCCAGCCACCTGTAATATGGAACGGGTGGTAATAGGGCTTTTTACAAGCGGGACCGAGGAACGCACAGGCGACGAGGTCAAGTAGTTGTATGCAAAGAAAAAGCTATTGGGAATGTGCGGTCGTACTTCGAGTGGTTGAAAAATAGTTGCCATAACCCCAAACAGTATGTTGTCCATCAGGTGCGGATACAGAACCACATCTTACCCGTTTCAGAAATATTTTAGCATTTATATGGCCTCACTGAGGTGCATTTCCGCCATCGAGGACTAAACGAAAGCTATGACAACAGAAGTTTCCATTATAACGCAGAAGGGGCGATTTTTGTTCGTGGCAGAAACATTTTCAGTATGTCAGGGAAGTGCATAAGAGGACAAAATGTTCCCACTGTTTCCCTGACAATTAAGGACGTGGACATGCATTAGTAAGTAAGCACAATAAAGCATATTCTCGGGAGGTGACCCATTGTAGGTTGTTTAAACTGATCAAGATGGCGTCCGTCTCCTCCGGCAATTAGGTTTCCTATTTAGGTGAATCTACAAATATAGCTCAACTCGTCGTCCTGTGAAAAAGAACGTCCGAAGACTCACTACGAGGCTAAGGCGCCCTGATGAACTGTCTTATTCTGGAGGCTTTGAAAACGCAAAGTACAGGGCCCGTAATTCTAGGCAATCGATTGAAAATAATGAAAACCTCAAAGGCTTCATTGACATTTCAGGGAAGCCAGAAGGCTCGGTGGACTTCATTGTCACCAAAAACGCACAGAACACTTTCACAGAAAAGAAAGCCTCATTATTATCATATACAAAAATTGTATGCCAATTATATCCCAATTTCTTGGTCACTGACTGACCTCTCAACCTATGGTCATATAAAAAATCTTATGCCTGCGACGTCCCTGGCATAGAAATAAAGTCAAAAACTTTTTGTCGTAGTCAATCGCACCTCGGACAACGATGAAAAAGCCAAAAATATATCTAATTCACATTTTGGAACATAAAAGCAGGCGTTAACAAACTAACCATTTGCCATGCCTCATATAAGACATTTTGGTATGATGTGGTTATGTTGGGGTTGGGGTTCGAGCTAGGGGTTATAGTTAGGGGTTAGGATTACGATTAAGAGTTAGGGTTAGAAGTTTGGGCTAGGGGTTAGGGCAATTATTTCTCAACCACTCAAAGTACGGCCGCGCATTCCCAATAGGTTTTCTTTTGCATACAACTACTTGACCTCGTCGCCTGTGCGTCCCCCCGGGCCACCTGTAACAACCCCTATTACCACCGATCCCGTATTACAGGCGGCTGGGGTTTGTTTACCTCAGGTGGGGTTACATAACCACATCTGACCTACTATTTATTATAAAATATTAATTTAAGGTTTGTAAAAAAGAACTTTAAACGTTGCTATGCTCATTCTGTCTAACCTGCTCGGTTATTTACAAAAACCAGGCTATAAGTAATTAAATAAGTTGAGTATAGTCCTTTGCCGTGAATATTCGAACTTTCAAAATTTCTGCTTCACTCAGGGAAATAGTTATCTCTAGCCAACGTAAAAGCACTTTCAATACATCGCTCGTGTTTTCATTTAGATTAAAGTAGTTTATTATCAATCGACTCTTTTGGTCGATTTATAATAGGTGCCGAGAAGCAAACCCGTTCTTGTGGTCAAGTTTAAATGTAATTTATTAAGCGTTTACATCTGCTCAATTCGAACTATGTGTCATTGTAAGTCAGTTAGGTCCTGTTTTTTAGATTTTGATACAAATTTTGTTTTTCATATTCGGCCCAAAAAGGGAGGCATGAAATCCGAAGGCGGGCATTTTCATCATTGTATGACATCAAAACAACTTGTGGTGTCTAGCCAGATGATAAAGATATCCGCCAGAGTCAACTTTGATTATCAAAACTCCGGTTGGGTGATTTTAACTTTCCCCACATCCATCGTCCAGAAAGACCAGTCGAGCTGAATAGTGATCACTTAGACGCAACCGTTGACGCAGGTCCTTGCCAGACCATCAAGGAATCATTTAAAAAGCTATATTCTTCATGGTCTACTATTCAGGAGCGTCTTCAACAAGTTAGTAGACAAGATGTGTGGGTCTCGCGCCAACTATCGATAGAATACAGGGCCCACAGTTCCACAATCTGTGACTTCTTGCGAAGCATACAGGGGAAGAAACCGTTTCTACGTTGAATTGTCACTGGCGGAGAGAAATGGATTCTTTACGTTAACAACCAGCCATAACACCAATGACTTTCTACAAGTTAGACCCCAGTTCCTACGCTGTCATCAAACTCATACTCCAAAAAGGTATGAAATGCGGAGGCGAAAATTCGAGTTCCAGATGTGCGTGTAAGTGAAAAAGGGTGGTCGAGCACCGGAAGATTTAGTTTATTGTTCAGAGTTGTCGAACTAGTGCGGGAGTCCATCGTCAGAGACAATAGCAGTAACAGAAAGAGCGACAGTTACAGGGCATGCAAGCCAATCATCGACCGACAGCGCAAGACTGGAAGTGACTACGCAGGGCTCTGTACCCCGGTGCCAGATCTATAAATCGATTGACAGAGTTCTCATCCGAGGCCCAGACCTCAATCAATTCTCGGCCTGTTTTGTTTCCCCGCATGGGCGACTATTTTGGTGGCCGCGTAGTTAAACTCATGACCCGTTTCGTAGGTGTGGGCGGCCACTTGTGATAATGCGTCGCCCCGTCGCACAGCCAAGCATGCGTCCAGTCTGTCCTGTGTAGTTACAAGGACAATTTTGACACGGAATGCGATACACTACCCCAGATTGCTCTTCAGGCTTTAACCGGTCCTTGATTTTAATGACCCTATTGCGTATGGTGGCTTTGGGGCGGCGTGCAATTCCAACACCTAACTCCACAGCAATTCGCTCGGTTGCTTCTGAAGCGTGTGCTATGTGTTTGTCGGATTATGGTAAGCACACTTCACTTTTAGGTACTGGAATAAGGTCAAACCGTAACAGTAGACTTATATATAATTAGAACGTTTGAACCAAGGGCTTGTCGTTGAAGAGCCCATGCTAATCAATGGAAAAGGTGTAACTGTGCCGCATGTCAACGCAAGACCGCATTCACACCGACGGAACGAGAACAAGACCCGAAATTCAAGGTGGAAACTTTTGCCCGCTTACATGATTGCACACCAAATGATTATCAGTTGATCCGATCTCTCAAGCATTTCCTCGGTGAAAAACTTTTCAAAATATCGACTACGTCGAAACTGGGTTCCTAGAATTCATTGAAATGAAAAAAAGGCCTTTTAGTAGAAGGGTATTAAAAACTTAGTTTCACGATGGGCAAGAGCTATTAATAATGATGGCACTTATAATTGATAAAAAATAAAATTTGTTCTGGCAGATTTTTAATAATTCATTTAGACCCAACTGTGAAAACCTCAGCGACCCCGGTGGGATTCGGACCCACGACAGCAAGAGGAAGGCTTTAGTACAGCCAACACTCTAGCCACCTGGGCTTCGAGGACCAAACGGGAGACGTGAATTTAATCACATATGGGGGGATTCCTGACATTGTAAAAGGCTGGGGGAGGGTAATTTGACCCAAATAAGATTTAATTCACGACTAGCCGTTGGGTATCGTAGCTCAGGTGGCTAGAGCGTTGGCCGAACTTAAGTCTTACCCACCAAGGTCGCCGACTTTATCACATTTTGGTCAAAATGAAAACAGTAAAAGGTTCTCCAACGAACACTTTTCTTGTCGTTTATGAAAAAATCCACATTAATTTCCGGCACCTCAATACTTCGTGATTTTATTCATGGTTCATGAGTTTTATCCCCTTATTGTGCATTCTCATATTGGAACGAATCGTCCCTGAGGGTTGTAACATTGGTGAGCCACGGGCTGCACAGCCTACTCTCCCCCTCGCCCAGATGCAGCTAGCAAGCACTTAAAGACGCCTTAAGGAGGCAAGTCTACGCCTAGAGAGCTGATGACACACGGGATCAGCAGCTGGACTGTGCGCCCCGGGGACTTACCCAGTAGTCGGAGACGCCCTCATTCTGTTCAACGACGGCCTTCCGAAACCGGCCTTCCTCACTGGGTACGACACCGTCCACGAAGCCAACGGCGTAGTCGGCAGTGTCCAGACCCTGCGCAGGACGTCTTCCACAGCAGGGGAATAGCAGACCACTGGAGGAAAGGTAACCGTCAGTGGAACTGGCCGCTATCTTCGACTTGACCAGTGTCGATAAACCCTGAGTAGCGTTGGCGACGACGCCACCAGGGCCAGCAACCGGTCGAAAGAGGACTCCACAGGAGCGAACGTGATCGTCCACCTGTTCGTTGGCCTGGTACTGCTGTTTGCAGAGCACGTCCTCCACCGGTTGGCCCTCAGCGATGAGGCGTGTCAGCAGATCCCGTCGCAGAGAATCCAGGTTGGGAATGGTCTGCTCGCTCACTTGCAGTGGATAACGTAGAGGTCAGAGATGGAGGTGGGGGTGGGAGGGGGCAAGCACTGATAGTGAGTAAGTCATTCAGGTCGAGAGTAAGGAAACGCCGCAACAGAAGTGTGACCGGCAGTCAACATGACGTAAAGCCTTGAGAGAGCAAAACCAACCAATAAAACTGAAGTTGGCGTCCAAAGGACGATGGGCTATCGGAGCCAATAGTAGAAAAAGCGGCATACAATCAGCACAAAGTACAGTCATTTGCGTAGTCTGCGAGGGGAAAAAGCGACCCCTATTCGCCTCAAGGAGGGAAGACGAGACAAAGTGGGTATGTCTCTATTCTCCTTGACTCGCGTGGGCTAATCCAGCAAAACGAGATACAAAAAAGATTTACGCGCGGAGTTCACAGCAGAAGAAAAAAGTGTTTCAAATCATGCTTGCAAGGAATCAAAACTGCTTACAGTCTTCTCCCCATCAGTAACACATGCCGGTACCATCTCTGAGAGGGGAAATGCTCATACGCACAGAGGGCATAGTTTGCCAAAGTATTAGTACTTGTGAAAATACGTTTCCGAGGTAGCGTGACCAAATGAGATGAGCGTTCAGCCGGGTGTGTATTGTTAAACTTTGTGACAGTGCAACATGCAAAGGTACTGATCGCAGTCCCGGAAACTTAACAAATTCCTCTCTTCCATTCCCTATGCCTCGACTGCCTGTTTGAATAAGCTCCTTGTTTGTAATTCACAAGCACGGATTATCAAAAAAGACACAATAAATTGAGAAAATCGGATTTCCGGACGCAAATAACAAAAAATTCAAAAATCAAAAAAAAAAACGCTGAATCGACAACGCCAAAAAGAAGAAATTCAACCAGACCGAACGATGTACCATCATTCTTGAGCCTTCGGTAGCCATACTTTTGGATGATTTCAACCGGCACGAACTCCCGATTAATGATGCGTCTACTCACCACTGCAAACGGCGACAGCGACGGCGAAGAAGGATGGAAACGCAGTGTAGTGGTAGGTTTAAAGGAAGGGCAAACGAACACTAGTGAGCACTGCTTGGAACGAGGATGTATGTATGTGCATATATGTAACACAACCGCCAACTCTTACGGGGTTTCTTCACAGGCGGTCGGCCAGCCATCCAAACTGTGGGTTTTCGTTCGGTAGAAGAGAAGGTCGATTTTACCCTGGTTCGTTCGACCTGCTCTGGGGTGGGTGGACCCAGTTGCAAAACTGCACAGCAAGAATAAACTGATTTCAGTTCTGGGGACTCCAATGTGGCGAATGTTACGAGGGATAGAGTAGAAGGGGAGGGGGGTTTTCCCACTCACTCAGTGAGTGAGATCTGCCCACAATGGTTTCTGCCTGGCAAAGATTCTAGAACTGGTTTGGGCAGGAAGAAGTGTTGTCCTCGCAAATTTAGGGAGCACAACGCGACAAAAAAACAGACGCGTATGAATTTTTGCCTCCCTGCTGTACTTAAGCCGTGTCCAATCCCATCAACAGCTGGTTAACAGGCTCCAATAGTTCACTGGTGCTTGGTAAGGAGGGAAGTGAGAGTAAGTTTGACATTGGAGAATCCATCTCATGGCTGGTCAACACATTCTTTACTATAAATAGATCTGACGCGTATGAATCTGTCACGATGAGTTAAAAACCGCCGCTTGAAAGATTTCCAAATGACGGGGTAACTGGATCCTCGTTGCCGGCACTGTGTGTATGTGGGGTGGCCTTAATGGGACTTTCAGGTATGTGGGATTCGAGCCGATCATAATACCGCACTTCTCACGCAAGTGGGATGTAGGTCCCTTGATGAAACCGGTACATTACCTGGTGCTCGTCAAGCTAATGCGCCCAATTCCACCAGCAGATGGTTGACAGGCACGGACATTTCACTGGCGCACGACAAAGGGAAGAGGTCGACATTTGGAACTCCACGCCGACGGCAATTCCGCACATTCCTAACTATAATAGATCCGACGAGCTTGGATCTACAACGAACCGCTGATAGGCGTGACCTGGAAGGCTTCCAACTGGTGGAGTGGCTCGATCCTCTTAAAGAGTGACCTGTGTGTACGTGGGATGACTGGTTCAAGGGCTGATATTTAGCTCACTCAGAAGACGAGGTGGCGAACATACGTAGCTTTCGATAAATTCTCGTCGGGCCAATACAGGTATATGGGAACTGGGTAGAAGTAAAACATGTCAGCGATAAGGGAAATCGATAAAAAGTCTCCTTAAGACACAGGCGGGGTGTGGGAGTTTGGGGGAGGGGAGGGGGGCGGGGCGGGTAAAAGCAGTCAATGTCAGGGACGGGGTGAGAGGGGGAAGGGCGCGGAGGGTTGCAGCGTTAATCGACCTTCGACTACTGTAGGCGCGGAGCCTGAACGTGGTTCTTCTGTGCGCATAAGATTGGCTTTTGTAACCTAATGGCGGCCGCTTCCGTGGTTGCTAACAGGCGCTGGCCTAGTTGCTTAGGGTAGCTCGATGGGACCTTATAAAATTACATGAAAAGGTTCGTTGGGGCCCACACGATGTCCGGAATCGACAAAATGCGCGAGAATGGCGCTGCTTATGCTCACTGATTCCTTCTGAATGCGACCTCTATGACATTTCTATTCAGAGGAGATGCAGGCCACCCTCTTGTCTCTGTGAAAACCTGGTCCATCGTGGGCGGGTAAGATCGCGTGTGGACACGCGGTGTTGGACTTTGTCAGTCCCTGCATCTAAACCCGTTCCCGACCGTCTTGACATAGTCCTGCCTTGGTGAGGTAGATGCTGCGCAAGTAGACCTCACTAATTCACGTGCGGGTCACTGGTGCTGTGCTACTCCGTGGGACGTCGTCACTGTCGACGGTTGTACCACTACAGATGAGAGGAGGATCCTCAGTTGACAAGTGAGTTTAGGAAATCGAGCGGATTTCAAGTAACACGTGGGCCATTGCCAGCAGGGATAAACTGGAGGCGTTCCACTCAAAACCTAAAGTCAGTTTTCCAAAAATTGCGTTCAAAATTAAGACAGAAGTTAACAGCAAGTCCTCCTTTGTGAGTGTGTCTTGACAATATCGAAGAAGGGTTCATTTCACACACCAGCGTACTCTAAAGTCGTTATGCAGGGTCACAACTACAACCTACTATGCCTATCATAAAAGCTCTGCTCTGGTAGCGAGAAAAAGCGGATATAAAACCCCCGCTCAACTTTGCTTCCAGGAGTGGCCATACGCGCAATTTTGCATTTACAGACTATAAAATAATGTCAAACACAGGGATCATTTGAAGCAGGTAGTTAAGCAAGCATCCAAAATAACCAATTCAAGGGAGGAGAGGGTGCTCCAGGCTAAAATGAACGGAACCGTAGAGGTAGGCCGTTTAACCGGCTTCCCGAAATGATGGTATAAAGAGGAGGTCTATCAGATGAGTCATAATCACGTCATCGAAATATACTTAATCGCCGCCTCCAACCTGGCATTTTTTGTCGCCGCATATCTGGTATTTTTTCGAACAGGAATGAACGCGCGCCGATCCATTGGAATCCCGAAGCAAACGGGCTGCACATGTATAAACTGTTGACCCGTCACACAATTGCTGTATTAATTAACAGAAATACAGTGATTTTTACTCGGCTAAGCTCCCTTGCCGCTCGGTATCACGCTGTATGTTCGTTCTCTGTGTTATAGCCTCATCCTTTGTAAGCGTGAATGAGACTTTCGGTTAACGTAAGAAAGAGAGAATACTGTCGTTTCACTTCAGATGCGGCAAGTAGTTTCGTCACTATAGACAAGCAGAGATCTTCTAACATACCACAATCCGCCAAAAAGCGTGAATTTGAGATTTAAAGGCCACTGGGATACCTAAATTCTGGCCAGGACGAAGGTTCAAACTGCAATCGCCTTCCAGTTTGGCCGAAATAGCTCTTTCACTCATGTGAAATCTGATGACTACTAATTGAAGATTGAGTAAGCAGGGGGCTGCCTGAGTTGGCCGTGCATACGGACTGTTAAGTTTTGTCCAGTCACAGTGCCCATGCCAGTCGCCTGGACTCTGTCTTGCCGTTTGAAGGTGGTGTGTGTGGGAAGGGGGGTGAGGTAGGTGCTACGCAAGTCCGTTTCGGTGGTTGTCGTGTCAGATCAGATCCAGGACTTCGTTTCGTTATTATCCAAGAACCTGACAGGCCGAACTCAGTCAAGTTATGTTTCCAGAGGGGGGGGGACAGATAATGGGATGGATTGAAACAAAACTGGATCTGACTTATTCTGCCCTGATTCAGCCAATCATTGACCCTGACCATCATCTGGGTACGACAACTCGACCGTCGATTCCGACGATGCCCACCGTGTGCTACACAGCTAGGTGCAACAGGCACGGGGGGACTTGCGTGTGAATTAATTTATAGTGACAGTGGGCTTGCGCAGCACCTACCGCACTCTCTCCTACCCACTCTCCACCTGGGCCCGGTGTCAAGACAGAGTCAAGAAGACCGGATGCGGGGGAGGGCGCAGGTGGTTGGCACAGCCGGACCCGCACCTAGGCGTACCACCACACCCCCGGGTCCGCAACAAACACTTGACCAGGATTTTTCACCAACAACACCCCAACAGGGGTCAGAAGGGCGAGGATGATGACTGGGCCATCATGCCCACCACCTGTATACCCAGAGGGAGCGCAAGAGCATCTACCGGCAGGCAAACAGGTTCCAGGGAATCTTGGACCAAAGTCAGATGAGTCATTTATGGAGAGCTCGGACGAAAGGATGGCCGGAAGGGGCAACTCACAGGACGGCTTCCGCAATGGGGGATGCAGAAGGCTTCCTTGGCTTCTTCGAGGAGCTGGGGAATGGGCATTAGTCGCGTCCGCCTCGTCCGAATTGAGCCCGTCCAGGGCTAGTTGAAAAGTTTGAAAAATATGGCATAACTCAAGTAGGATAAAAAAGCCCACTCAGGTCCAGTCACACTTAAATCCCGCTAAGTCAAACCATCCTCATTATTTTAACCGTTAACAAACATTGCAAGACCGCTTTTAACAGAATGGCAGATATATTTTCAGAAAAAAGGCATAGAATAACAGAGGTTATAAACATCGAAAGGGCTAGACTGGGCTTATCTAAACTTTGTACTTGCAAAATTTCAACGCACTTTTGAATAAATCTTTCATCTGACTCAATTTCAAGGCTTGACGACAGTCGATACTACTACTGTACATTTCCGATCGCAACTGACAGGACGAGCCCGTGGCTCAGGGGTTAGAGGCGTTGGACTTTTGGCCGACAGGTCGCGGGATCGAGCCCCAGGTGTTCCACACTTCGGGGTTGGGTATGACTGGCTGACAGCGGTTAATAAGCCAGAAATAGCCATTCCAATCCCCCTTGTCTTTGTCGGCAATAACATTCTGCCCATATCATGCGCCGCTGTGCGGTTGCTGGTTGGGCTCGAGAGAGAAGGCCCTAAGGCACAACACGGGACGAGTGAGTTCCGTAAGAACGATCGGTGAGCGCCTTCCTCTACCACTAACTACTTGATATAAGAGAACCCGGCTGGCAGTCGCGAGTTTAATCACATTTGGGTCATGTTGCCAGCCCAGCCTACTGCAACGTACGAAACCCACCAATTCTGATACAGTGAACTGACTGACCAAGCAGGATTTCCTAAAAAATCGATTTCAATATCACCAGGCTCACTTACTTCGAGGTCTTTAGAACCTATCTGCATACTTCATCTGACAAAACTGTGAAAAACTCAGCGGCTTCTGTGGGGTTCGAACCAACGACAGCAAGAGCAAGACCAGACGACGGCCGACGCTCTAGCCACCTAAAATCTAAACTTCCAACTCCCGGTGGGTGCCTCGTAGATCAGGTTAGAGCGCTGGATATACTCAAGCCTTGCACATACCGTCATGGGTTCGAACCCCATCGAGGCCGCCAAATGTTTCATGTGCTAGCCAGGTGAATCATGCAAAACTACCAAAAACACCTGTTGAATAAATCCTTTTAACGGTAAGGTTAAGACATCCACCAAATTAGTTTTTAGAAATTTGTGCGACGCTAAGTACAATTGGTCAAACCAAATAAGAACTCCAGCAGCCGCAAAACACGCTCCGCGAAAACGGCTATCCAGAGCGATTCATCCTCCGGAATATTAGAGGGCGTGTCACAAAACCTGCCGTTGCAACTGCGGAGAATAAAGACTTATTTCCAAGACTGCCTTTTCTAGGAGACGTAGCAAGCCAATTAGTGAGACGACGTTCTAGGACAGCTCTCGCGAGTGTCTTCTGGGCGGCGAAATTGCGTGCATTCTTCGAAAATTCCTCCCTAATACGATTGGGGGGCAAAAAACCGGTTGCCGTTACAGGCCACATCCATTTATTCACCTGCTCCTGTGGGGCGGGATATATTGGCCGTACAACCAGGCGTCTGGAAAAGAGAATACGCGAACACATGCCTGCCCGGCTAGGTAAAGGTGAAAATCGAGCGATTTCGAGTTCAATTCTCGCACATCTAATCGATACGAACCATCAGGCCGACGCTAAAGAAGCCTTTAAAAATATCTACCAGGCACCGACACACTACTCTAAAGGCCTGCGCAAACGGGTACTAGCCACGGCCGAAGCAGTGGCCATCCGACTAGCGAACCCGGCACTCTGTTGTCAAACGACGCTGACACAAGCAATCTGTCTGCCCTGGCCGACTCCAGGCCGTGATCCCAAGACATCCCGACGTCCTGAGAGCAGTCACACGCACTTACAGCGCTTACAATCTAACCGGAACCCCTCTCCTTCCCCCCGCCCACCCCAACTCCACTGTCCTCAACACGCTGACTCCGTCATGCAGGCGGCGTGGGAACATGGAGTCCGATTAACCCTGCCCTTGAGACGCATATATATCCTGCCTACAATTAGACTGATCATTACCCATGTAAATGTACCGGCCTGAGAATGAGTTACCGAAAACATATGTTCGCCAACTGACTCTTCAATCGTAATATGGGAATTTTCGCAGAACTAAATAAGAGGTTTAAACAAATTACTGTTCAGTCTAGTAGTTACTGATCTTGTTCGAAAAATGTCAACGCTGATTCACAACAGTGATTTAGCCGCGGTCATCAGCCCTGAGGTGGAGGACAGATCTGGAGATCTGCCATCCTTGGCCATCCGGCACCGTTACCCCATTGGAGGTGTCAAAGAGGGAGTCAACTCAAAACCTGGGTCGAACCAGTTCATCAAGACATGGAGACGGTTCTTGGACCCTCGGTATTCGGTCTCCGTCCAGATCTGCTGTCACGCATCTTCACGCGTTGAGAGATACAAAGTCCAGGACACCATCGAGGTCGGCTAGACTAGGCCTTATCGCGGCCGTACCAAATACTAGTACATGTGCATCTGGTATGAACACATTAAACCAGCACGGGGACCCCCGCCGACAAATAGGACAGCGCGCAGTTATCTCTAGAAGTGAACCGAGATCCGCCGTCAATGAAAGTTCCATGTACCAGACATTTGCTGCTGACATCTCCGACGATCGACCCCTGAGAGAGCTCGAAGGCTCAAACTGCAGTGATTACTAACCCGTTATGAGATGTATGCAGCCATGAAATATGTCCTGTGTAACTCCACTTCCTCCTAGCACACACTGAGCGAGCTCGTTGAGTCAATACTGTGTCGAGTGTATTATAAGAGCTTACAGACTTCTTTTAAACTGGTAGTGTGGCGCTCACCAATCATGTTACGGAACTCACTCGTCCCATTGTGTCTATGGGCTCCCTCTCGATCCCAACCAGCAGCAGCACAGCGGCGCGTACTATAAGCAGAATAACATTGCCAACAAAGACGAGACTGGAATGGCCATTTCTGGCATATTGACGGTCGCGAGTATGGCTGGGTGACGACGGCTAATATGCCAGAGATGACCATTCCAGTCTCCCTTGTCTTTGTCGGTAATGTTGTTCTTCTAAACTGTATTCAGAGCGCGCATACAAACAACCTATAACTTCCAACTCCCAGACACACAGAAGGTAATGACTGACCGATTTAAATTCAAACAGGAAATGAACCACGAAGTCCCTCATGCCTGGGCCCGTGAGTCTAACGTTTTCACAATGCAAATGAGATCTAGGGTCTGAAAATAATGCTGGGTGTTAGGATGTGGTTTCATGGGGTTCCGGAAAATTCACCCACTGGCAGCAAAAGCATGAGAAAAGAACATGAAGCGGGTTTTCAATCTAAAGAAGAACTTGCCCAAATTTTCAGATAAGGAGGAGATGGAGGAGGTGGATGGACGACGGACTCGTGCTTTTTTCCCCACTACCGTGGTCTCCATTTCTGTCCGAAGTATTCGTAGGTCAGTGCCATCGAAAATTTGCAAAAAAAGATAATTTAGTGCGCGGCAGACGACAAGCAGTATCTGATTAAGGTCCTGTACTAATACACTAAGCCTCACAATAGAATAATGAAAGAAAACGGGGAGACTGAGATCCGTGTTCAAGAGGGTATTGCCTACGGCCATCATGCTCACGTCTGGCGTCCTTGTTCAAGGTCGCGTTACGTCAAGGTCATCCACATTTGCAGCGAGCTGACCGGCAGGCACTCGACCGGCTTCAACTCGGACAGACACACGTGCGTCCACACAGAGTCACAGCTGCGCATGCGCCACCTGAACACCCCCCACCCCCCACAAACACCAAATGAGGCTGTTTTCCACAAACCTACAGAAGCATCTGCTACCGATGTCTCAAGGACTCACAGGCATGACTGAATGAAGTTAACACCAGCGCTGACCCTGCCAGCGGCCACTGCCGCCTGAGAGGACAACTGGGGGGTTCTCTATGCAATCTCAATCTGGTGACTTCTGCCTTTTCCTACAACACAGCATTTGGCCTGGTGATTGTAGCGCTCTGAGAACACACTCCGACTGCTAGGTCACTACAAGGGGCTCGGAAACCTTCCGCCAATCATACTCAGGCATCGCCATAAGGATCGGCTGTGCCCCGCTGGTGTATATCGCTTATCTCTCTCCATGTTCTTTTTTTATAGCGGTCCCTCCTGCCCCATTCTGTTTTTTGGCGAACACACTACTTCTTTCCTAAGCTGCTAACATACGATGCCCAATAGTCGGTTCATAATTTGCGGAGGGAACCACCGCCGTTCAGGATATGATGCAGTACGGGCGACCTGCGAGTGAACTTGTTCTCAGTGAGGCAGACTTTCACAGCATCTACCTCACCTCACTTGCTCCATGCCCACGTTAATTCGATGGCGATGCAAAGTGAAAACGACCGGAAGTGGGTATGGGCGCGATAGTTGACAGCCCGGTTATGCGTGCCGCACACAGAACCCCCCTCCCTCTGCTCCCCCAGGGTGGCTGGCATCTCGCAAGTGTGAGAAGTGCCATTAAGCGCAGCATCCAGGGGGAAGAAGAGAGGGAGTAGCAGCTGCCCTTCCTTAATGTGCTCGACAGGCAAACTCTAAACAGTGGAATAGAGACAAAGGTTTACAGGAAGGTGTCGAACACCAAGATAGGATCTCAGTCGCCAAATGAGTTCAGACTCACTACAGCAACCCGGAAGAAAATGCAACCAATTAAGGTGGAATGGCTACCCGAAGGCATTTATAAGCCGATGCTTACGTGTCCACCTCCCAGAGTTGTCATGCGCAGCAGAACCATTAAAATCAAGGACAGATTAGACTCCGGGGAGACGTCTGGGCGCATTGTATCGTATCACATACACAAACCGTCCTTCTAACTGCACAGGTCAGACTGGACGCATGATCCGATCTCACATACGCGGCGGGGTGGCAAATTAATGCTAGTAGCTACCCACACCTCTGAAGGGGGTCACGAATTCAACTTTAAGGCCGCCAAGATAATTTCCCATTCCGTAGGACTGAATGAAGCCTGCACCTCAGCGGAGAACACGCCCAATCGATTTATCGATTTGGGGCCGACAGACACACAGAGCCCCACACAGTCGCCTCCAGACCTGCGTCATTGATCGTTGATTGGCTCGCACCTCCAATAACTGTCCCTTATTCTGTAATTGCACATTCGACGTCATTCATGAGAACACAGTCAGTTGAGCACACAGAATAGGCTAACTATTGATGATTGAAACCTTAAATTCGAGGCACGCACAGGGAATCAGGAACCAGACACGACGAAGAAACGTGTCCTTTGTGGTAATTTGTAGACAGTGAGAACGAGTAGTTGACGCGTCCAATTCAGATATGAAGTCCAGGTCTGACTGGATACTACGTCTCGTTAATTATCAGGTAAAAAAAGAATCTAAACAACTATTATTTCTCAAACAGTTAGCGAATCATTCTTACTAGATTCTCCGCCGGACTGGAGTTCTTCTTTCCTATTCTTTTGCGCCGCCGCCACTACCGCCGCCTCTTCATCCTCATTATCATCAGTATCACGCTCGTAGTTTGTGGCATCCGGTCCCTCTGATTGCACATTCTCCTGGCTGAGATCACTGGAAGAACTGCTGATATAAGTTGTATCGGGTGCCTAGAAAGTGAAAGTGAAGAGCCTAATTAGTAAGTAACCGTTCATGATTACTCTTTTTCGACTAGCTGTCCGCGAGTATGCACAAAATCCCTTTTTCACCTTTCCACTTATCACTGTTTTTCTCCGACGACTTGTAACCAATAGGGAGCTCAAAGGCGCTCGCCTATATTTCCCTTAATAAATTAAAACTGAAAGAGTACTTCTTCCTGCCAATTGAGCGGACGCGTTAACCCAACCGTCCTCCATGCGCACGAGACAGTGATCAGATGGACATACTTCGTCTACTTCCTTTGATCAGAGAAAAGCAGCGGGCATAGTGGAAGGAAAAGGGAAGGTGAAAATCACAGGACATTGGGAAAAACAGAAGGAATGGGGAATTACTCCCCATCTCAGGGTAGAAATTCAAACAAACGTAAAACTACGAAGAACATGGGACACATAGTGATTTCGGGATTCATCCTGTAACAGCAACCAATCCCTGTATTTAGTTCCAAAATGATGATGACGTGAGGAATTGCGACAGCGAAGGTTGACGACCGACGAGATAACTCAGCCTTCCTGTGATAAAGGCGGTCAGATTGCAATGCCCCCCCCCTATCCAGGCGGCCTTAATAGCACCTTATACGTGTGCGAGATCCCCGGCCCCTTGGGGGCAGGGGCATGTCATGCGTGTGGCTCGCGTAAACGGGCCGTGAGTCACAAAGCCCGCGTTCACCTCCAGTCGTCCTGACCTCCCTCTGTCACCAGAGTGACGGGCGGCTGAAGCTAGCGAGCGAGACGAGGTAGATGCAACGGAAGTCTGAATCGTTGTAAACAAGTTCGCGCGCAACTCACCGGTACTGTATTGGTCCTATTTGCTAACTACCAAACATCACTATGTGGACAGTCCAGTAAGAAAATGGCGCGTTCGTCAACAGAAAGTATTGTGGAAGATAATCAGCTATAAAAACGTGGCAAACGATGAACAGTATACAAAACCGGAAGGAAGGCTCTGTAACTGGACAGATGAAGAGACGGTCGTGTAAAACAGGCTCAAACATAGCAAACTTGCAAAGTCTCGCCGAAACACCTCAAAGCCACTGGGACAGCGCCCAATAGCAACAGTAGAAGCGGTCGAGATCGTGTTACGTAGATCGGTACCGTGCGCATTGAAAAACCTCCTGAAGGCCCCGCATTTGTCATGATTAAAGACTAGTTAAAATTCGTGTTCAATGAGTAGTTAGTAGCAGGGAATGTTAGCAAGGTATAAAAGGGCGCATGATAAAACGTTAGGGGAGAGGCTAGTTAGCGTGTATCGTTAATCGTGAGATGGTTGTTGTTGCTGAGATAGGATGCCCTGGTGTGACGGAGGATCCCAAACAGCAAATTCGGCTCCACAGTGTTTTCTGACTTAACATCCGGACAGCTAGTTATCTGTTCTCAGGAGCCATGCTGGCCCGTATCCAGTCAACCGAGTTGCTGGCCATTTATAGCTGTGACCTAAATAAACCTGTACACACAACTAGATGCGAAAAAAACCAGTCGGTAAAGGTGACGAGCGCAGGCGAAACACGACCACTTGTTTGAACGGTACAGTCGTTGCCGAGTTTCGGAGCCCGTTTAACCACTCTACATAACTTTCAGATGTCCGTGTTGGCAAGCCGCTTCCTTTCCACGAGAGGCAAAGATTTTCCGTTGTTCCCGGTACACGGTCCTGACGTTTTTCACTCATATTCCAATGGGTTGGGGAAGAAATGAAACAGAGGAGCTAATAAAATGCAGATATTGCCTACTAAAACTGGGATTCCAAATGATGGGCCTCTGAAGTGGACCGCCCCACGTACAGGAATATCCACGAAGGCCAGATCAGTATAACCACCGCATTCATTTCTGAGTGTGATCATCGTACGTAGTGTTAACAGCACTGAACCCTAGTTCGCAACCTCGTTCAAGCCCATCTCAGACTCATACTCGCATACTGTATTTGGATGGTTCAATCAGGTGTTCTGAAAGCAGGGAGAAATCATGCGTTCGTTTTACCGGTTAAGACCATTTCAAGTTATATGGAAAGTAGGGTTGGCTAAGCAATTGCATGGTGTGATATTCTTCAGACCGTCCCGGTTGCGGACGAGCTCTAAACGGTCCGACACACAATCCCTCTATTATATGGTCGATCAGCATTTAAAGCGCTCATAGACAATCATGTTAGGCCTGTTGCGGTCTGTTTCACATGGGTCGTTCCATGTTCTTCTGGTGGTTAGGACTACTCATATGTCCGACGGTCTTTTACGCTGTACGGGGCTTATGACATTCATGCATATGAGATCCGATCCGCCGTTTACGCGAGAGCGCGGTGCCCTCTGTGGACAAACTGATCGTGCGTGGCACGCGTAGACTGGCCCTTGTCGTTGGCAGCAGCCGCGCCCAATCCCAGTATTACATTATGGACAGGCTCGACAGCTAACTGGTGCGCGGGTGGGGTCTACTCTGGGTAAAATCATCTGCACGAAACACTGGCGCATTCCCAACTACGACAGATCTAACGCGATCAAATCTATTATGACTGGTTAAAAGTTGTGACTCGGGAGACTGTCGACCGACGGTACAACTCGGTCCTCAAAGCCAGTATTGTGTGTTTGTGCCGAGTTGCTCCATCGTTTTTGTGAGGACCTGCTCCAATGTGCCGGACCTGGTCGTGTGTTTCAGGCGTAGATGGGCTGTTTAGCTTTGTCAACCACTGGCCACCGCCAGTCTTCTCGCCATTCAATTAAGATGGCTGGAAGAGGCGAGAGTGCAGTCCCATTATAAGCGCGCAAGTCATTGCTGAACCCAGTGCATGGAGCGCGCGGTGGACGTCTATCGTGTGCAAGTATGCATCGGTTTCTGGTTCCACGTCTTTGCGGAAAGTCGTCCCGCTGGAGTGTCAGCACAATTCGATAATCGTATTATTGGTCGCCTTACGACCCAGGAGCCAATTACCTGCTCGCGAGCCCTGTAAATATCGTCAAAAATCGCAGATTATGCAATCCGGTATGCCAATGAGAATAGAGTACGCCTACCCCGTCGCGAGTGGCTGGTTTACTGACTGAACAAAAAGTACAAACAGGGGGGGGGGGGGGTCAGACTTACACTCTCCACGGAAACATCCCGCTGAGAGGGGGGCTTACCGCCACCGGCGTTTGCTGGACGCGGCGGCCGGATGTTCATGCGGTTGATACCCGAACGAATGGCGGTATTAATGTTTTTAAGGGTATTTCGAAAACGCAATTGCCTCCCGAGCTGGGTGGTTCTGGATGGCCACCTACCGGCGTCCTGACGGAATAGATGAAAAGTGGAAGTAAACAGATACGGTCAGTGCGGTTAGATATGAGCACATCAGCACAAAACACACGCATATTTATGTTTATGTTAGCTACCTCGAAAGAAAAGGTGTTGTCTACAAAATCCCATGTTCTAGTTGTGATGCCGTCTATTGTGGTCGAACTGGGAAATCTGTCTCAACCGGTATACATGAACATCAGTTAGCGGTAAAGAGACGCGACCACCTATCCCAGGTGGCCATGCACACACTAAATACTGGGCACAAATTTGCAAGGGAAAACACTCGCATTGTTGGCGCCTGCCCAATAAGGAAGGTCCGAGAGTTCCTGGACGCAATACACTCAGAAGAGGCACGCATCAACCGGCATGTTGATCTAGATGCCACATACAAAGTGGTTAAGGACAGATTCAAACTGACTCAACCAATCCCGAGAAGATGACTTTAACCAATCATAGAATCCTTTGTCAGACTCGGTCTAGAAGTTAATTGTCTTTGCACGTCCGTTGCCTGAAAACGTGCTGGGGAAGCAGTCACGAAAACCTACACAACAAAGTTTACTGTTTCCCCAAGAATTCCATATTCCTACTGTTTATGTATGTATGCAGAATAACATTACCGACAAAGACACGGGAGACTGAAATAGCCATTTTTGGCTTATTGGCCGACGTCCGTCAGCCATACCCAACCCCAAGGTGTGGAACGCCTGGAGCTCGATCCCACGATCTTTTGGTTAGAGATCCAACGCCCTTACCACTGAGCCATGGGCTCCTTGTCCTGTCAGTTGTGATCGGATATATACAGTGATAGAGGGGCGCTCACGGATCGCGTTACGGAACTCAATCGCCCGCCGTGCCTTAGGACTCTCTCTCTAGAGCCCCCCCCAGCAGCTGCAAAGCGACGACCACCAAAACTAAAAAAACTTGTACCAGTACAGTTGCCATCCCGGCTGATGATACTATTTCAACTTCCACTGCAATTTTTGCTACATTAGCAGACATTAATAATAAAAAAAACTGCAGCAAGAATAGTCCCGTTACCACATCGAGAATGCAGTAGGTATAACTGTGACCACGAAAATGCCAAAAATATAAATACTACCACAATGAGTAATGCCGCTATTGGTACTACGGCCCACTAGTTGCATAATACATGGTCAGAATTACCAGCCATTAAAACGCGCGCTACACGGTTTGCTAGCAGTAACACTAAAACTGTCCCTCTTGCTGCAGTCATTGCCACAGACGGTATTATAACTTCGAAAAAACCTATTATCATAGGTGGTGTGAGACCAACTCGGATGAGAACTCGGTCAATCGATTTATCGATCTGGCGCCGGAGTACAGAGCCCTGCGTAGTCACCTCCAGTCTTGCGCCGTCGGTCGATGATTGGGACTACATGCCTTATAACTGCCGCTTGTTCTGTTTCTGCCACTACCTATGACGATGGACTCGAATCTTCTTCTTCACCAACTAGTACTGTTATGACCATTTCGTAAAAGTAGTAATAATGTCACCCACACAGTCCTCCTTGACAGCGTCTTAGGAACAACTGTCAGTCCGACCGTCGCAAACGACCGTGTACCCCACAGTGTGACAAACGCAGGAGGGCAGACTTGCGCAGCATCTGCTTCACTCCCTCCCCCACCTGGGACCGATGGCAAGAGGGGACGGCAAATACCCCCGTTATCATTTAAAAAAAACAGTGCGTCACCGGGGGCACGAGAGATTGGGAGGGGGGAGGTTAGTGAGCACGACGCACCGTTTGGGTCAGCTGAAGAGGTCGGTCGTAATTCACGAAAGACGCATCCGAGGCTATGGAATCCTGCTCGTACATGCTCAGCTGACTCTCAGTGACAGCCCAGAAACGGGAAGAGGAGAGAATACCGCCAGCGGCCCTGGTTGAGGGCACCAATCGAGAAAAGTTGGCCTGAAGGCTCTCCTGGTCGAGGGGAAAACAGAATTGCGGCGGAGGGTTGAGACGCTTGGGGCTGATGAGTCGGTTTGGCGGAAGGACAACCTGTAGATCCACGTCGTGATCTGAGGAAGGGAAGAAGGTGGCACATTCACACGTGCAGTTGTACATCATCGAACAGAAGTCGGTGTCGTTAGTTCCACATGGACTGCAGTGAGGGAGCACAGTACGTGTTTAGTGAAAACTGCCAGCTGGCACAAGGAGTGGTCTACCGGCCTAGTAGTAACTTGTCTGCCACTATGAACCAAATTACGACTTTAGATAGGTGGGGAATTATATTCGTATGACTCAAAGGCGGTAGAAACAAAATCCTATAAGAGTAAGGGGAAGAGAAGCTGATGGCGAGTTAGAGCAGCAAGAGCAGGAAGGACGGGGAGAAGGATCAGAAGAAAGTGAAGGATAAGATTTGAGGGATGGAAATGTGAAGTAGTCAGTGTGGTGGGACGAAAAGGATAAAATTAACGGAAAGTAGGAGTAGGAGGGTGATGAGTAGTCGTAGCAGAAATAAGTGGTGACATATCAGAAGCGGGGAGAGGAGGGGGAGAATGAAGTGGGAAGACGTGGGACAACGAGCCCGTGGCTCAGTGGTCAAAGGCGTTGGGCTTCTGATTAACAGGTCGCGAGTTCCAGCCCCCCAGGTGTTTCACATTTCGGGTTGGATATGACTGGCTGACAACGGCTAATGAGCCAGAAATGGCCATTCCAGTCTCCCTCGTTTCTGTTGGTGATAACATTCTGCAATAGTTGGTGTAGGGAATGGAGATCTGATAGGCGCGGGAGAAGATGGAGGAATTATGGGTCGGAGGGCGGAAGATATGTAAGTGGGGGAGAGGGGTATAGAGGGTAGCTCATGGCAAAATGCAGCTACATTTTGAGTCTGACACTCAAAGCCCTCTCACCTGTTGTCGTCTTTACTCCGCTCTACCTCCAGATATCAATTAAACCTAATGACTCGACGATACACTAGATATTCTTATCCGACCAATAGTAACCAAAAGTGTAACCTAGCTAAATGGCTTGCTCACTGATTAAGCTTCCCCACCAAGCACCAGGTGGTCATCATCGGAGACAGTCGCAACTAAGGGTGATGGAAGCACAAAGAGGTGGTCTTGCGCTATATTCCCGAGGTTACTTATTTCCGTGCCCGAAATTTAACACCAAACCTCATAATCCCAATCTTAACACAAACTCCAATTCTCCTAAAATCTAACGCAAGATGGCTTTTAGTACGGGGCTCCATGTTGCCGTACGCGACGATGTCTACCGTGTGCTCTGCAGCGGGGCGAGAACAAGGACGGTGGCTTGCGAGTGAAGTATATGGTAATAGTTGACTTGCGCAGCATCTACCGCACCGTCTCCTCCTCCTCCTCCCCAACCTGGGTCCGTTGTCAAGATAGAGTTATAAGGACCGGAGGCGGGAGAGGGCGCGGGTGGCTAGCACGGTGAAAAAACCCACCTATACTTACCCCTACACCCCCTGGTCCGCAACGCACACTGGCCAGGGTCATATATCACAAGAACAGAGGGGGAGGAGGCGACTCAAATCCTGATTGGTGAGCTGTGCGCCTGCAACTCGGTCTACCGCCACGCCCTCAATGTCATCATGTGCTATGGGTGCGAACGCCCGATATATATAGTGTATTTTAGGGTAATAGGCAATGCCCTTGATGGCCCTATTGAAACGGTTATACAGTATAAATGCTAAATGCACATCTTACTAAATTTTGCCAGTAACATATTTGTTTACAGAAAACGTTTTTACGGTGCGGGACTGCGGGTGCGGTAGGCGGTTTTTTCAATGTACATGCGAAATTTGAAGTGCAATTATATACAATCAGCATAAAGTGCAGTCATTTGCGTACTTTAAGAGGGAAAATTTCATTAAACGTCGGGCGTGTGTTACATAGGGATGAAATCAAGAAATGAAATTTATGGCTGGCCGCAGAGAGTCCTGCAGTGAGAGTCGTTATTTAGGTCTATCTGCCTGCCAGGCTTCGACCTAGCCCCAGTTTTGGTCCAGCGCATGACCAATTTAAGGGGTCTTTCGTGGGGCATTTTGCTACCGTATCATCACAGCAAAGACGAAATGCACGGCTCGGAGTCGGAAAGCTACCCACCTGTAGACTTGAGGATGATACAGAGTGAGTCAGCCACCGCGCGCAAGGCCTCCACCGCCTCCTCATCATTGGAGACGGGGATGAGGGTGTTGTTGAAGAGGCGCACGCCCGGCTGCCGGAAGGAGAGGTAGTGCTCAGCCGCGGTTGGCTGCTGTCCCCGGGCCGTGGCGCGCGACGCCTCCGAGGCAGTTGTCACGGAGGGCGCTGCATCGCTCTCCTCCGTGTCGGTGACTCCACCCGGCGTCGTGGTGCCCGTCTCCTCAGAGGCCTCCTCGGCCACCTCGTAGTGCAGAATTGTGGCGTGCAGAGGCGCGTTCGCTGAGGCCGTCTGCATGGTCGCCGCATACAGGGTCTGCGGTCCAGGCGGTAGACGAACACCGAAGACGTTCTCGTCTGGACTGAGTCCTGTCTCTGGCTGTGATGGTGGAAGAGGAGGGGGAGGAGGAGGAGGAGGAGTAGGAGGAGGAGGGATATGGGGTTCGAAAAAAAACTAGTGGTGCAATAGGCGACAGTTCGAACGCCGCCAGCGACAACCTCCATTGTGCGACTCGCGGAGTGGGCGCAGCGACGGAGACTTGCTTACGAAGTAGTTTGTAATGAGGCGGACTTGCGTAGCGCCCAACACACACTTTCCCCTCCCTCATCCATCTGGTACGGAGGACAAGACAATGTCAGCACAATCGGAGGTGGAACGGAAGAGAATATACGCATCCCAGATTCTTGTTTAAATGAAAATGAAGGCGCGATCACTGGAACGGTAGCTTTATCGGTCTTCGCTTTCGAACTCAAACAGGAGTTCACCCTCAGAGACTGTTAGAGTGGAACAGCATGTGAAACTTTATACCGTTGTACCGTGAAGGCGGGGGGGATGGCTTACTCCCGTGGCTAGTTGTGGAATTGGTTCTACAAGAGCTGGAAAAGGTTGCTTTCAGCCACTACACAACTGTGTTTTGACACCGATACGTGGACGATACACTCGTCAGTATTGAGGACAGGATATCGGGTTTTCCAGACCTGCTTAACAACATCTTCCCGGACATTCAATTTACAAGAGAAGACGAGGAGGCCGAGAAATTACCGTTTCTTGACGTGCTCGTCACGCGCACATCTGATGCTAAACTCGGCACCATAGTGTACAGAAAGGCGACCAGCACAATTCAGGTCCCCAACTATCAGAGCGACCACCCGGTGTTGCGCAAACGGGCTGCGCAAGAGCGTTTCTCGACCGGGTAAAAACGCACTGTAGCGAGCCCGAAGGGAGGATGCAAGAACTACGGAATCTCAAGGACCAATAAAAAAAGAACCGCTACCCAAATAGTTTCATCAGCCGCTGCATACGCACGCACCCACGACGGACAGACGGAAGAGAGACGCCAACAATTTGGCACTCCCTACCGTACATAAAGAATGTGCCTGAGGCTACAGAACGAATTGCGTCAGAGTTATGCGTGGGCATCGTTCATCATCCGGCGGCTACCATGCGTAGCAGAATCAGGAATATGAAGGATCAGTTGGGCGCAAGTGAGCAGTCGGGCGTAGTCAATCAAATCCCCTGCCATAAATGCCCCTGACATTAGACAGGCCAAACAGGATGACACCTCAGCTCACGAATACTCGAGCATAAACGGGCCGTTCGGGAAGGCGAACAACTAGCTCAAGTCGCCACTCACACGCTGGAGGAAGGCCATGAGTGCGACTTCACCAACATGCGGATATTGGCGCGGGCCAGCAACAAGACGGGGCGGGAACTATTGGAGGCGTGGGTGTCGGACACCAGCTCCACCAGCCCGCGTGTTGTCACGCTCTACGCCCACGCAGCCAGGTGGCGCAGCTCATATCGCCGCGAAGTACAAACGCCGTCACCATGCCGGGAAACTATTATGGGCCAGGCAGCACGAACCAGACCTAGCCACGGACGTAATCCCTCTCCACTCACGGCAGAACGATATAAATGTTAACACGTTGCTGCACTCTAACAGTCTCTGGTTATGAGCTCCTGTTCGAGTTAAAAAGCTAAGACCATTACAGCTACTGTCCCAGTGATCGTGTCTTCGTCACCTTTTAAATCGGCGGTGGGTTTAGGCACAGGGGTTGACTACTAGAAGCGAAGGGGCGAGTTTCAGGAAGTAGTCGCGAAGACGGAGACACGATCGTTGGAACAAGGGCTTTATTATCCTGACGTTTCGGATCCTCACTCGAGTCCATCATCAGAGACAGAGAAAGATAAGGGTGGTAAATTGCTCAGGTGTTGCAGTATTTATAGGATGCAGTTGCTAGGCCGCTACATGCCTATCGCAGTTGGCAGCTCCCGAGTGCACCACGGCTCGACTGGCCAGGAGTTGAAGCATGCAGTTGCCGTGCCGTTGCTATGTGCTTGTGTGCCGGTCAAGATTATCGATTCTCACGCTCATCGCACGTAGTCGAGTTGCTGGCGCATAGCCAAGCCTCTAGTCCATAGGTTCCACACACGACGTCCTCCCCAAGAGACCCTAAGGGCAGCTCTGACATCACATCCCTCATTATAATAACTCTAACGCATTCGAATTTATCACTACATGCTAAAGGTCGTGACTTGGAAGACTTTCAACTGAAGGGACCACTCTGTCCTTCTCATAACTGCGAGTAAGGTTGTAATGGTGCCCTCTGAACGTGATGCAGTGAAAAATAGGTCGTGTGTGCTTTACGAAGACGAACTGTTTAGTCATTTGTCCGTCCCTGTGCCCACTTCGACCTCCTATTGAATCAAAATGAGTGGGTGAGGGAGTGCGGTAGATGCCGCGCAAGTCTGTTTCATCTTAAGCCAATTCGCAAGCGGTTCTCCAGTGCCACGCCCACCCGGTGGCGCAGGCGATGGACACTGTTAACTGCGGCGATCGGAGTGTCTTCGTTGTGCCCGAGGAGTCTGTTGAGCATCGATTTGGCGGCACGGTTGCCCATAAAACGCTCACAGAGCCCTGCGGCATGACCAATGTCCCTCTACTATCAAATAACCGTCCGTTAGTCGTCTGAAAGAGTCGTGGAACTTAAAAATGATGAGCGCAGCGACGGGGAGCACTGGCAGACGCCACAAATCCATTCCTCCACCAGGCGGACCAACCAGTGGCCATTAGGAAAAGGTTTGACTTTATTTGGAGAGGGTCGGAGGGTTGCGTCTGGTTGTTCTGTTTAGATTTTTCAAAGGTCCCTGGCGATCAAAAAAGCATTCGCCTGCCAACAGCAATGACAACATTCCGAGTTCAAAGGATTTCTAGCTGCAAAGTAAACTAATAATGTGATTGTTCAACGAGTAATCTGAGGTAGTTCGGGCTACGTCCTTACCACTTTATGTGAAGTTCTTGTAAAGCTCCCAATCTACGTAATGAGAGATACGAGAGACCTCTCCGGTGACTATTAGTGTGGGCCAGGTTCTAGCATGTGTGTGGAGCGTGTAGTCGCGCTCGCAAAGTAGACGCTGCGATGGTCCGCTTTATTGCAGGTCAATATTTGTAGGACTCACCTCACAGAGATAGTGGTGATTCTCATCACTTATTTCAGACAAATCATTGCTTTGATGGGCGCCTAACGTGAACGAAGTGAGCTCAGCATTATCGTCTTTCTGTAGTTTCTCAGAAGGAGTTCTGGTTGCAAAAGTCCATCAGATGTCATCATCAAAAATTACAGTAATGGCTGACCAAAGACACCATCAGGACATTTGAGGTAATTTGTGTTTCAATGCCCCTCATTTTATCTTCTTCCCCCTCCCCTACTTAATTCCCCTACATGGGAACGATGATATCAATTCCACTGCCAATGGAAGACGAGAAATATGCCTAAAACTAAATGACTCGAGTCGAAGTTGCCTTGATCATTAGGAAAGATCGATAACAAACATTTCGCATACCTTGGCATTAGTTTCGGCCACGGGTACATTATCAACTGAACTCAGGGAAGTTTCCGTCGCGTCTCCAGGTCCTACGGTCGGCGCCTTGTAGTAGATTTGGAGGACGGGAAGAGGTGCCCTTAGGAGGCGCGATTCGACACCTGAAAGTACAATTATTAGGCAATTAGGTCATCGCCGACGATTATACATAGCATAGAACGGTCGGGGGTCGAAAGACTCACTGACAGAAGCAACTGCGAACCATTAATGCAAGTGTGCGTAACGGAACTAACCGGTTGTTGGAAAGGGGCGTACTTAGAAATCGCCACCCGCTCCAGGTAACACAAACGACGGACCTTAAAATTGAGCCGTGACTTTCTACTTCTTCATTCATATGGACATTTTCCTGCCGTAACCTAAACATACGACCATCTGAAACTGATTTTATCCGTCTTTCGGGCTACCGATAACCTCCACATGCTTTTTCGGGCAGCTAGTCCCATTCGAGAGGAGGCAACGATGGTAAATGAAAGGTCATTTTGTTAACACATACAATTCGGCCGCCGCTGGCGACGGTGTCCACCCTGTGCTCCACAGCAGGGTGAGAAAGGGCACGGTGAATTGCGCGTGAATTCGTTTATGCTGCCAGTGGACTCAAGCCGCATTTACCGTATTCCCTCCTCCTCCCTCACCTGGGCCTGTTGTCAAGACAAGGTCAAGAAGACCGGAGGCGGAAGAGGGTGCAGGTGGATGTTACAGTAAAAACCCGCACTTGGGCGTACCACCCCACCCCCTAGTAGTCCACAACGTACACTGACTAGGATTTTACACAACAAACAATGGGAACGCAAAGATCCCAACTGGCATGATGTTCGCTAGAAGCCTAACTTGCCAACAGACTTCCTATGTTGGCGTTTGTTATGGACGCGTTCTTCCCATAACACCTGCCGGACCCCGATCTAGCCCCAGCATTGGCGAAGCGAATCTACAGCACAAGCAGCCCAAGGACATGCACCCGCCGTCAATATTTCTAAAGTCCATTTTCATGTGAGTACTAAGTTGATTGTTGATGCAGGGATAAGCGTGGTAGGAGAGGCCGTCCTAACCAACTCATTTGCATGCCGCTCTAAGGACGCGTGCATATACTGTCCTATCGATCCGCCCGCACACCCGCACGGCATGAACGTTTTGAGATCGCGCCAGTCACCGGCAGGATTGGAGGGGCGCCCAGCCAATCAAATGAGTCAGCAGACATAACCACATGTTAACAGGTCAAGGGCATGATCTGATTGGCTTAATTGAAGGACGCCCTTCGACACTGTATCTGCCTTTTCATCATCAGGTTTTGTTGTTGGGAGCTCAGCATTAGACGCCTGCCCTTCACACCTTGCTCTTTTGAGGATTCGATTGCCGAGAGTTGTAAACCGGGCCACCAGCTAAGTGTTACGGCTAGAGCATAAGAAAACTTCCTATAGAAAGGGGCCGTAATACCAAGCTTAAGTCTTCGTAATCACTTGTCAGTGATGATTTACGTTGTGGCTCAGACCAGAACAGTCCCCATTTCCTGCTTATTCAGCCACCCCCGTTCGCTGCAACACCCCTGGCGTGTCAGGTCAATGAATTTTTGGAGATCAAGAGCGTTTTGATCCCGGTACAGGTTAGAAAAGTGCCCACTACAGGGTTTGCCGGCACTAGCAAGGCTAGTGACCGCTTATCAACACCTTCCTGTCGGGCAGGAATAACGGGTAAAGGATACACATTCGCGGGATTTTGTCAGAGTTCAGAGCGCACTGTCTAATCGATGAAGAAGCCACAAAAAAGCACGGCGAGTATGCGGCCTCGGGGATTTCTAAATGGCCATTCTAGTATCCGTGAATTTGTAGGTGAACACATCGCAATTAGCGCCGTTAATGGCCATGCGACCGGCTGCGTGGGGGGGCCGTAGACACTCGGCTGCAAGGCGAAGCGACAATGCTAATTTTCATCCTATACTCCGGATAGATCGGTGCATGACCCTTACAACTAAACACTCCCGATCTCGACAAGACGCGAATCCGTAAGTCCAGTGGGAGCGTTGCCCAATGAGCGACTGGATATCGGAGGTGCATCCCGGGATTGAGCTATCATTGGATGATGAGGGAAAATAAGCCAAAATGGCCCTTCCAGTGTCCGTGGCTTTGTCGGTGAGCCCTTAATAATTATTGTCCCCGGGTCGCCATGCCACCGCCTAGATGGACTGCAGATCCCCAACTCTAAACGCGGAAACCCTCAGTTCTGTCCAGCAATCAGGGCAGATCGGTGCACGTTAGCTTCATCTGACTAAGTGTTGGAAAATTTAGCGGTCTGGCGCCTATGGCGTGCTAGAGGTCGCCCTCACAACGACAGACGGCGTCTGCTCCCCCACCAGCAAACCGAGGCGCGACTTACCAACAACAATCTTGTAAATTGCCTCGACTGGGATCCGTACGTGTGGCTGGAAGGCAGGCTTCTGTACAATAGTGAGCCTAAAACAATCCAAGGCATGACCGTAAGTTTCAGGGGCAGCATTTGACAAAATGACAAAAAAATTGGATGAACAAATACTGCTAGCGAGGTAATCAAGTTAGTGTGAATAACAGGACGGGATGGAAATCACGTGAAAGTCTTCAAATGCATAAGAGGAAAAGGGCTCAAGCGCCGAGGAAGGGGAGTCTGTTTTGAACCTATGCAGATACGGGGAGTACAGCGCGATCTGGTCAATAAAATCCGACCCCGGTCCCTACAGCTCCCAGCAGTGATCGCCAATCACGGGACAGGTGTGCATCGCTCAGTCTGGCTGTGTGAGGCGTAGTAGTTTGGGGGACCCTACCCCTAAAACGGGCCACGCGATATAAACGGTAGGTGGGCTAACTCATGAAATGTCAACCGAAATTCCGAAATGTGTTTTGGTTTCGAAGTGATTACTTAAGTAGGGTTGTAAAACTTCAGCCGGCAGTATAATTCTAGCATAATTCAGATACCTCAGGATGCTTGTTTTCGAACGAACCTTCTTTCGGCCTCATAAAAAAACTATGCTATCTAAAAGTGACTACTTAAGTAGCATGCATTTTTCTCATTGATTTTCGATGCCCCTAAATATGCAGTTTTATTTCATGGAAAACATGCATAAAAATATTCATTCTTTCGCTCATTCGGTAGAAAATTAGGACTTCTTCCGATTTTATACTCGAAAGAAGGGTAATATTCGGTTTTCAAAAAGTCTGCTGCGCATGATGAAAATTAGGAAGCTGAGGCCTTACCTCACCAGATGCAGATACTTGTCCGTAATCATTCCAATTGTATCCAGGTAACGGGAAGGTTTTTGCAGCCTGAAATGGGTTAAGGGATGCAGAACTGTTAGGACAGGGAAGAAAGTAAAACAGTTGGGGAGTTTGTTGTCAGCCTCTTTCTCGAGTGTGAAGGTGATTCCTGGGAATATTGATTTAATAATAATGTGGAGTATTTCCAGTTGATTACTTTTAACAATGAGAAACGTGTCATCAACATATCGTACCCATAATTTAGGGTTAACTAGTGGTAAGGCGATAGCCTCTAATTTTTGCATTGTGACGTCTGCGAGAAAACCAGATATAGGTCATCCCATAGGAGCTCCCTTCAGCTGTTGGCAGTATTCCTGTGCAAATGAAAAGCTCGTTTCAAGACAAAGATCTAAGAGTTCTAACAAAGCAGAACTTTATTGGGTAAATATTGAATACTGGTTTCCCAGGTCGTCGTCAGACTTAAGTAAATGTGCAAAAACGCTTACCATTTAAAACGGGCTAAAAAATAAATATACATTCAGCTTGTACACCCTAGGGATATGGATTGGCTATCTTGGTAAGAAAGAAGTCGTCTATAAGATCCCATGCGATGCCTGTGATGCTATATATTGTGGCCAAACAGGAAAGTCTACACGCATTCACGAGCATCAACTGGTAGTTAAGAGGTGAGACCAATTATCCAAAATGGCCACGTACACCCTTACGACTGGGCACACCTTCGCACGGGACAAAACTCGCATCTTCGGAGTTCGCCCCTTCAAAAAAGGCGGAGAGCTTCTTGAAACCATGCACTCCGATGAATCATGCATCAATCGGCACATTGAGTTAGACGCCATGCACAGAAATATAAGGGAAAAGTGGAAGAGACGAGCGCCAATCGATACAGACTGAGGCACACGGCGGCCGCACGCGGCTGAATCGCCAAATGAATATTGGTTTCTCAGCGCGCTTGAAATGTTACTTGTTTTCTGCACATTTACTAAAGTCTGACGACGACCTGGAAAACCAGTGTAGGAAATTTACTTAATAAAGTTCTCTATTTTACCAGGCAACGTGTTTGTCTTCAAATTTATATGCATATAGTTATCAACATGGGGAAGTATCGACTTTAGCGTCCGACAGTTTATTTATAAACGCCAGATAAACAGCAATTTCGACATTGCGCAAACAGACACAGAGGACTGAGTTAAGGCTGGCAAACAGAAAGGTTCGTCGTGGGAGGTAAAGTGTTGTTGCCTATAAAATCGACTTGTCCTCAATAAACTTCAAAGGATGCACAAAAAATCAGAGGTAAAACTGTCCAGCCACTTACTGGTTTGCAGACGTTGCAACAAATTCGAAGTAGGACAGTTCGCTGTCGAGCATGCAGAGCTCACGACATTGGTCCAACAGCGGCTGCATGACTGCGTCACCCGGCTAAGAAAGGAAGGGCAGGTTACAGATCCGGTGCACCGGATTAGCCATAGTTGCTTCAGCAGGCTATTTAATCAGCAAAACCTGTGTTGGCACGTGAACTACCGCGGGGTTGTTTGAAGACATACAACAGGGCACGTTAGTGAGCCATCAAAGAGCATCCGCTCACGAACTGGCTCCAAGTATAATCAAAGCGGCAGTGTATTCGCCGCATGAATACATTAGGCACAACAAAGACGGCGCATATTCTAAAATTATCAGTGATTTTCGGCCAATGACCGGGCTTCCGTACCAACCCAAATCTATAAGGTTTCGGAAGTACAGAATGGATTTTCGGCCCAGGAGTTTGGATGCCAACTTCATCGTGCATGATGGGTCCCGGGTGGTTCCATTCGAAAAAAACCCCAAAGCCCGACCTCTGGACATTGAATTCACGATGATGGAAGAAGATAAAACTAAGAGAGTCATCCTGGATGTCTTATTCACTGGCAACAATCGTGATATTTCAGGACAACAAGTGAAAAGGTGAGTTCCAGGAGGCAGTTAAGAGAAATGGGAGGCGATCGATAAAACAATAGTCATATTTGTTTGAACTATTGAATTCACCTTCGAATTTAGCATTAAAGACAGCATACGGACTGCAGTATTTATAGGATTAAGTTGGTATGTCAAAGCATGCTTTTTTGCGACACCACGTGATGCTGGGGTTGGACACAGAACAGAGGCAACCATCAGGCGCCAGATGATGGAGCCGGAAAACCCGCTAGCACGACGGAACACGTCGGGTGTCGTCTACCAGATCCCTGGTGGTTGCGGGAAAAGAAGCTACTTCGAAGACACTGGTAAATTAGTCTGGACGCGGACGGCTGAACACGCAGCAGCAGTGAGGAGGCAGGACGTCGGCTCCCAAGTTCCGGCTGATTCGACGAAACTGAAATGCACATTCAAGTTTGGTGTGGCCGAAATTCTTGTGAACAGTGACAATCGCGCGAGCCACGATCTGTCTGAACTGCCCACAGTTGATTCACGAGTGCAGCAACAACCACTTTCATATTCCACGCTGAGAGTTTGTTTCGGCTGAGTAATTAACTACGCGGGGAGTTCGTGGGCGAGCGTCGACTCTTGTGCCAATTGTAGCGAATCGGCGAGTTCCCGGAAACAGTTTGGAAGAAGAAGAAGCGATCGCTGAAGCACGTCGTTTATCAGTCTGACGTTTATGATCCTCACTCGAGTCCATCACCAGAGACAGTCGCAAAAAACGGTGATGAGGACACAAGGAGCACAGTACTTATAGAACGCAGTCGCCACGCAACCACACGCTAATATAATTAGCAGGAACCTTCACTAAAAGTCACTCACGAAACAAGCAGACTTGCGCCTGGCAAAAATCAGCTGCTGACCAAGCAGATGCAGAGGATTTAGTTTTGGCAAACCGAAAACCCAGACATTCCTGTAGAAATTGGATGACAGCACAGTGACTTGGGGAATATGAACAGTCCTTAGACAATTTTATCTTTTGGCAGGGCCGTCGTCCAAATGTCACGTTGAGCAGGAGGTGACCCAGCTTGTAGCAAGCCACTGAAAACTTGACTAAAACACAGATTTCTCCACCTCATTCCTCCATTCATGCTACGGCGCCCGGAAGCCCCGAAGCGTCCGGTCCTTGGCTTGTAGACTGAATAGTAAGTAAGCAAACTGATTAACCCCGGGAGGGCTGCACATTGCATTTTGGAGTGTGTGATCGCTGCCTTCACTTGCAGCACTGCGGAGGGTTGGCGCACTAAATTGCGGACGTCGACTCCCACTTCATGGTGTGTGTCTCCCAGATCACGTTCACACTATTCCACAGCGACGCCGTAATGGCTCTGTATGATGCAGTCAAAGTTTCGCATGCGCACTGGCAACCAATATCCCCACGCAGAGCGTTTGTGCATCCTTGTGGCACTGTTTTCCACGCCACAGATGTTATTACGTTCGCCACAACAACAAATGCTGATAGAAGGAAGAGGGAAGGAGAGACCATCTTTGGCAAACTTCAAACGGCAGGCAACGGTGTCTCAGTGAACGGACTGTATCTGCCGCGGCGTGCGTTTGTAACACAGAAACAGGGAAGTCTTTTGCGTCTACGGGACTCACCTCTTGTTATAATCAGTGAAAATGATAAAAGACTTACCATTTTCTTATCTGTTGATATAAATTATTCCAAAAACCCTCCACGACATCTTTAATGGTGCCTGGGTTTGAATTCCCCCCATTTCGACAGTATTTCCCAAAATACGCATGTTACTGCAAAACGTATAGTAACATGTTTATGTTGATTCAAATACTATAAGAAGGTCTGCCAAGGCAACGCCTTTTACCCTTAAATATGGTGAACTAAGCTACTAGACCTACTTCATGCAACATGCCGCGGTAGCATGACGCAGGTCACACTCAATTGCGCACTTGTCAGACCACACTAGGTCAGAGTTCGGTGGTAGACTTTCGCGCGTGGTGGCGGTATTGGCAGCGAGAACAGCTCTGTCCAGGCCTTTGTGAGGGTTCGACCACCGCTCAGACAACGTGCTGTGCCGAAAAGACACGACCTGAGAGGAGATGGGATGCTGGCAATTAAAACGTCCCGTCAATAGCACAGGCTCATATCTGGCTGTCTCGAGATGCTTCGTCGCACCGACGCAGACGGCAGCTACATTTGAGGTCTTTTTAGTAGAAGACAAATGGCTCAAACCCAAAGAAAAATTTTAAAAACCAATTCAAGTATTCCTGAGAGTCAGCTCGGCTGTCGCGTCCGCCGACAGACAGTCACATGCCAGAAAACGGGAAATGGGATTGACCCCTGCAGCTCCCTCCGTAGAACGGTAGTCCAGTGCATATGCCGCCGGTAGCTGTTGACAACGTCACTGTCTGGGGGCTGGGCACTATGTCGAAGTGAGATCGGTTCACAATCCTCTACGTAGGCCGCTTTATCTCGGTCGCCGACCGAAAACCAGAGGCTGGAAAGTACGACGCTGGATTGGGTCCTACAAACTCCTCAAAATACCTGTTGGGAGGCCCTACGTTATGGCAGGTGTTCTCGAAGAAATTGGATCTCGGAAGCACCGATTCAGTTGGCATTCGTGTGCATGAGACCACACGGAATGCATGATAAGGGGCGACGGATTCTGTAAAAGCCGTCTAAGAACTGAAACGCACTTCGACCAACCAAAATACCCGAAGGTTATGTTGGACTCAGACGAAGCGTGCTGACGGCATCGCTATCAGACAAGACGGTCTAGTGGCAGGTTTAATTCCCACATTATAAAGACGGCCCCCCGTCCACTATGACCGTAGTTTGTCGTTTGTCGAGGTGATAGACGCGTAAATGTGAAACTGACAAAGTGCGGCGTCCAATTTTAATTGGTTACAGCCAACTCGAATTTGGCTAACTGCGACAGTCCCCCCACACCGACTGGTATGACGGTGTTCTCTCCTCTTCAATCGCCCCGCTTGTAAAATGACGAACGGACAGTAACGAATGAGCGTCACTTTGGGCTAACACGAGGATGTGCTGAGTAGAACTGATCTCTGCGTCAAATCTCTGAACACTGAAGTTGCCATCAGCAGTCTACCTGTCTCATGGATTCTGCCTACGCAGTCGACTCCCTCCACTGTGATTCACTATGGTCGATCATGCTGCATGATAACATTTCAGTTGAATCAAGCCAGCTATGACAGAACAGCGGGAACGGCGTGGTGGTTGCTTCCGTGATTTATCGGCACACAGGATGGAGAACTACACTGGCGTTACACTTGACAGTGGCTCGTGAATTAGGGATCTTAACCAGGCTGATCACCTTGCAGTGCTACAGTGGAGAAATGCAATCTGTTGTGTCCCAGGTGGGCGTGAAGGCAGCAGTCGAAGAGGTCAGGAAGCAAATTCCTCGAAGACGAGGATGATCGCCATCAACCACTATTGGTCGTTTGTGAACACGCCGGCTATCCACTGAGTTAGGCCAATAGACTGAGCTTTTCTTCCTCGGGGGAGGGGGGAGGAGGAGGGAGGGGGTCGTGTTGCCCATGTGGGTTCGACTATGCCGACGTTTGAGAAGGGCGATATTAGTATAGGCAACCCCACCCAAATGTGCGGCAGAGTCTGGACCTCTGGCAATCAAAATCTCACAAAAATAGTAACCTAGATGAAACTTATATAGAAAGGTGTGCAGATCGAACTCACTTACAGTAGGAGACAGCGCCTCGGGCAGGGAGCAACTTTGGATGAAATTCAACTCTGGACTGGTGGTGTGACCGAGAATAAAGTCGATCGCGGCCTGCCGTCTGATTTCGCCAAACCGGTGATAATAACTAAAGAGAAAAAAACCCGAATTCAAGTTCCGTTCAGAACAAAGAAAAGCCAGAATCGCAATGTCTGGAGTTGTGTGCACGAGCTTAGTCGGAGGTCTGGTAGGGATCAATTTAACAACAAATACTTTATTAAAGAAAGCCCTGATGCACTTAAATCCTCCCCCTCCACTAGGAACCACAAAATACAGGTACAGTATGTGACGTATCATGTAAAATGCCAACCGGAATTCTAGAACGTGCTTTGGTTTGGAAAAGGACTCCAAGGGCTCTCCAACATCTGGTTTAGCGGAAAAACTAGTCCCACGGGAGCTGGAAATGACAGCCTTCATGCAATGGGAGTCAAACGATACGTTTGTTATCCTCCGGAAGGGCATGCTGCTGAGTTTCCATGATTTTTTTAAACGCAAACTTCCCGGATATATAAATCATAAAGGAGTAAGAAAAGGATCCGCAACTCCCCTTCCTTGGGGTAACTATCAAGGGCGACCAAGCGCATTACTGCGGAAGTACGTGCTGGGATTGCCCACCGTCCTATAGCTACCCATTCACAGCAAATCGGAGACCGCTTAAATCAGCAGCGTATCGTATCCCCTGCATAAACTGTCCTGGTAATCACACTGGTCAGACTGAATGCAGCTCAGGTAGCGCAGGTACAAACATCCGCTGGTTGTGCGACGGGGTCACGATTATCTCAGGTGGCCACCAACATCTCCAAAAAGGGTAGCGCGTTTAGCTCCGCAGCCACCAAGGCAATCGACCACGACGGAATGAAGACAAACTGAGGATAATTTGAAACCTGGGCCCCGAATGAGAACTCAGTTAATGGATGAATCGATTTGGCGTCGGCATACAGAGTAATATGCAGCCATCTCCGGACCTGTGTCACTAACCGGGGACTGGCAAACACCCCCTATAACTGTCGCCTGCTCTGTTGCTACTCTTAACTTTGAAGATGGACTCCCGCACGAGTTCGAAAGCCCGGGCAAATAAACAAATGGTCCCGGTGTTCGACCAGTCTTGTGCTTTCTTACAGACACCTGGAAATAATTTTTATTGAACTAATTTGATAGAAAGTCACGTTTTCTTTAAAGGTTACGTTTCAAGCCAGGGCGTCTATTGGTTTCAAAAATCTTTCTACTCCAAAATGATTGTAGGGTTTTCAAATTATAGCCACATACTTCCTATTCAAGAAGAATCACCTATTATTCTTTGTTATTAAAAAATATATCTACTGCTACCAGAATTGCATAATGGAAATAGAATATGTTGTATACTTCAGAAAGAGACGTAATAAACGAACTGACACGATACTACTTGAACGGAAACCCCACGATCTTAAAAATATTATGATCGCAAATCTTTTTAAAGGCGAAGCATACCTTTTATTGAGGTACGAGATTTGAAGATGACGAAATTAAATACCAAGTGAGTGTAAAAAATGATATTTTGCGGAAATCCCTATAAGGTATACATGAATTTATAGTGACTCCGAATGTCACTCGGAAAAGTTCATACTACCTTGGAAGTCATTTTCACGGAAATTAGTTATTGTAGGCGGCGGTCGCCAAAAGTCGCATTCTAAAGCCGCTATTATTGCGTGACTGAAATATTTTTGGATCATGACGCATGATAGTCAATATTATAACCCAGCCTGAATATATATATTTAATGGAAACACGTTTCAAAATTCCGTTTGACATTTCATGTCCTACGTCACCTACTGTAGATGTCATGCTAACGGCCGGTTAGAGATATAGCAGGGTAATGTGTGTTCATTCTACCACTTCAATCAGTATTTTAAGGCTGGGGTGTTAGAGGGTCTACGAGATTAAAGTGTAAGAAGTTTTCCATCTTAGCCCACTACAATACCACCACTGTGCGCAAAATCGATATTTGTCGTGCTAACTGCCAGACAGAACCATGACTTGTTCGTCAGTTACTTGGTTTCGAGCTATTAGAACAATAGTCGAATAATCCGAAGTACTCGGTAGATTAACAAATAAGCAAACAGGTCCGTCATTTTGATTGTACAGAGTCCTCTAATGACATTTCTCAGGTGTAGATTCCAATATCTTTGGTCGTACATGCAAAGAAACCCGAGGAAAAAGGGCAAACAAAGTCACAATTCACAATACTCAGAATATTAGCGCCGTTTGGTAAGTAGCCAGCTTTTAAATCTTATTTCGGATCCCGTGATTGACAAGATGGCGAACAACCGGCCGCTATGACATACAGTGACAGTGAGAATCATGCTAGGCTTGAGGAGGTCGCCTGAGTCGAAACTCATCGAATCTCCCGGTCCCACATAGTTCAAAACCAAAATATCGACTTTTTCGCCAGAATTTTGAGAAAATTAAGCCGAACTGGAGGTGAGTGAGGTTTGACATACAGGGCATGACCGATCTCATAAAATGTTGGCTGAAATTCTGAAATGCCTTTTCGACTAGAAAGGATTACTTGGGTGGGGTTGTAATATTAATTATTATGTAGCATTATCCCATAGTATTTCGGACTCGTCAGGATGTCGGCTTTTGAATGCACTTCGCTTCGTCCCCCTGCGGAAACCACACTCGGTAAAAATTGGCTACTTAAGTAGCACTCATTTTTTACATTGATTTTCGATGGTCATATAAATTCAAATATATTTTATTTAAAACACGTCCAAAAATATGCTTTATTTTACTCCTTTGGTAGAGAATTACGTTGTCTTTATATTTTATACTCGAAGAAAAAGTACATTTAGGTTTCGAAAATGTTTCCCAATTCCAGAATAATTTTGAGCCTGGTCAGCCGTTCAACTAGCGTTAAGCGATTTCAATCTACAACGTGTAAATGAAATCATATAATCTTCTAGGTCTATAAGAAGATACTATATAGAGCTCATAAAATTTTGCAGTGGATGCGGACTATGTTGTACATTTCATGAGGAGCACTGGTAAACGTTCGTGTGCAATGCCGTATGTATGGACATCGCATGGTCTTGAAAATCCAATAATAAGAAACTTTTTCAAAACCCAAATAAACACATTCCTTAGGCATAAAATGCAAAGCAAATTTTGATTTTCTACCAAAAGAGTAAAAGAATGCATATTTTGGATGGTTTCTATAAAATATATTGGAATTTATAGGACCATCGAAAATAAGTGTGGAAATGCATGCTACTTAAGTAGACAATTTTTACCGAGTGTAGTTTCTCCAGGAGGTCAAAAAGAAGTGCCCTCACAAGCCGAAATCCCGGCGAGTCCAAAATATTATAGGATTATGCTACATAATAATTAATATTACAACTCCACCTAAGTAATCCCTCCTAGTCGAAAACGCATTTCAGAATTACAGCCAACATTTAATGAGATCGGTCACGCACTGTATGCGGCCACGACATCAAAGCCCAAAACGACTCCCTCTTCGCCGACATACAAGTCGCTTTCCTTCAGTCACCATGCCAACCGTCCGTTGGTGACAACGGTTTAGACAAAACTGAAGACCAGGTACAGCTTCTACGTTCCCACGTGACAAAGTGCTGCGACACGAACGTTACCGGAGGGTGGACGCCCACTGTAGCCTTCCAGCGGCCGAACAGGCCGAGCTGAGTTGAATGGTAAAGCCGGTTGACGATTCGGAGGAAGAAGCAGATGTGACCACTGGAAAAAAACTTTCATTGGTCTGGCGTTTCGGATTCTCACTCGAATCCATCATCAGAGACGGTCGCCGATAAGGGTAGTGGAGGCACGAAGACTGCAGTATTCATAGAACGCAGCTGCCGTTGGATCACATGCATACTGTAATTAACAGATCTAGCGATCACCGCTGGGGTCATAATTGGGACGATGATGTCTTGTTCGTCCGCGTCCAAGTCGTTAATTGCCGTAATTACGTCATCCGTGTTGGGTGTTGGCGTGATGATCGCTCCGCCATTTGGCTCACTGCCAATGAGATAATTGCTCGCCTGCGCCCTCCCCACGTGACTGATTCCCCTGCCCAGGGAAGTCCTCAGCACAGAATATGGTAACCGAAGGTCACTGCGCTCGTCGATGGAGTGAGGGCCTGAGATCCACGACTCTAGTAGCTCGCGGCTCACGCGGTTGTCACCACTTGCGAGGATTTCGGCCTCTCTAAACTTAAAAATATGGCCGGGTCCTGTCGAATGAGCCGCCATCTGAGAGCTAGCTTCTTCTCCCCTCGCCGCTGTTGCGTGCTCGGCCATCTCCGTCCGAGATAATCTCCCAGTTTCTCCGACGTAGTTGTTCTGCCTTCAACTGCACGACATCCGGTAAACAACTTCAGACGTTTCCTGTCGTGGCAGTGGGTTCTCCTGCCTCATGACTCGGTGCCTGATGGTTGCTTCCGCCCTGTGTGCAACCCCAACTCCAAGTGGGCTGAGAAGGCAGCTGACGGCCTCTGAGACATTCCTCACGTACGGCTGATAACTAGAGACGAGTGTGCACGAACACGAGCCGGCGGTTTGGAGATTAGATGGGAAGTCACAGGTGGTGACACGAACTGGCCTACATCGCCATGAGTCAGACTTCGGCAAGGAGGAGAGAAGCCATGGACACGACAGTCAGGCGCCCATTTGATCAACCGTCGGTTTTGACTACAGCTAGTTTAGATGATTTTTCATTTCTACTTGGCGGGGTGTGCCCATTTCGGATCCACCCAGCCTTGATTACGTCGCAGATTCGAGTCAACCTGGAGACCTAAGTTACCTCTCTAGTAACGGAGGTCGAAGACCCCCATGTCTTGCCAAACTGTGCCGGGCCAGGTTTTTAGATGACCTCCAATTGGACGCCTTCAAGTAGGTAACAGTGCCAAATTGAGGGCAGCAACAATTTGAGCTCATTGGGAGGACGACGAAGAAAATGTCCCTGCTACGGCTAGATGGGGCGAAATACAGTACGTGACCTATCTCATAAAATCTGATAAAGGAAACTAATGCGAAAATTTCTGGACGTCTTTAACGGCGCGCATTTTGTTCGCTCATCCACTCCCTTCACTGAAACGTCCTTTTCTTGCGCAGAAATTGTGTTTACGTAATTATATCAAGTAAAATATCAGTAAATTTTAGGGAAAATGGACGTTACAACATATTCTTGCAATTTCCTATGCTAAAACATGTCCTAGACTCCGGTTACGCATCTGACCGAGTTTTTCATTGAAAGCATAGTAATTTAACCACGTGCGACCCAAACGACCATCTGAAGGAGCGCCCGAACACTCACTAATTCGGTAAATGCCTTCAAGAATAATCTTGCTTTAAAGTTCCCAACAGACAGGTAATTCAGAATCTGTCTTTATGGACGATCGGGTGAAAACACTGAAAATCATGAAGTATTCAGCAACACTTCGAGGCCGATCTGAAAGTCAACGAAGTCCAAAACGAACGAAAAGTGTAAATTAATTTAACGGAAGAAAAGTTCTCTCTATAAACACAAAATGGTATGCTTACGATCCCGCCTGTCAGTTCTATTTAAACTTATTAGGCACCGAACGGCCTCGCAGCATGTTACCTTATGAAACCCTTTCTGCCTACGACGTCCACATCGGTGAAATCAAGCAAAATCCAGTTTCTCTCGTTGAACCCCACCCCATCTAACTTAAACAAGTCAAGGATAACACGAATCCCTGGGAAACTGTTTTGGAATCTACACTCAGAATGTAGGCAGCTGACAAACCGTCATATATGAAATCACAGTAATTATTAAACGATATTTAGATGTAAACTTCACTAGAACAATCTTATTAGGCGTTATTTTATTTCTACTTTCATATTTACTACGCTTCTGGTGTGAGAATACATTCAGTACATCTAAAAACGAAGTTTACTAAATTAGAGTCATATCTGACTTTTTCGGGATATTGAACTTTTCAAAATAAATCGACATTTCTAAACAATGAACACTGCCTTTACTATTTCTTTTATGTTTTTACTTCTTTTAAGCTTATACTTCATTAAAGTAGACATTCGACTCATGAAATGGTGTCGGTTTGCGAGTGATTGACAATCATTCGTAAATTTCAACAAATTTCATGAGTTAGGTCACTAACGGTAAGCTCGCGATGTTGTTACAGCGAGTACAGACTGTCTCGTTTGAAATGAAGTCAAGGTGCCTCATTCGACGGATGATTCGCGGACAGTGGTGGCCAAACACTTCCATGTGCAAAGTTCAGCATTCACAACCGTACAGGAGGCCTGACTGAACGGGTCCTTATTACACGCAAATCTTTGTGGTGGCGGGGATATCACATCGTGAACACGCAGCGTTCGTGTTATTACGGAGCGCCTGGTCGAGCCATAGCAGCACGAGAGTCCCAGGTTGAGTGACATGAGCGAACGTACCTGAATAGGGCAGATGCTTTGGAAGAAAGCGAACCCCCATTTAAAAAATTATCCTTCTCCAAGTCATTTGGAAAACTTGAGTTTGTGGGCAACAGGCGGCAACCACGCTGCTTTAAAAACGACAGTTTTCGGTTTAAAAACAGATCCTAACGAGGTTTGATCGGGACTTTCATGGTCAGCGCTCAGAAAAGAATACTTTAAAGACAGTGGGACAATCATGACACGGTAAATGTCATTAAGCTTGATTCCAAGATGGAGTCGGAGGATTCTGCAGCCAAATGGTAGGATATTTACCTTCGAACCCAGTTAATAATCCCGAGTTTAAGAGCCTGGAAATTAAGGACTTAACGTATGCGGTAAACAATGCGAGAATGACAGGCACTCATGTTTCCCCAGTCGGTTTCCCTGTGGGTAAACTCTGCAAAAAACTAGCTGCTTCTGACCGCCTGTCGCCATCGGCTAACCTCTCTACGGAAAACACAACGATTTTGACGCTAATAGCTTGTCTTAGAAAGTCCCTAAACGGCTACCTGTGGTCTGCAAAAGGGGAAAAGACTATTAGATGGTCAAAACGGGCCTCCGAACGGACCCGAATGCGAATGACAGCTAATTACCAGGCATATCACAAGCTTACGAAGATGCTTTATTGGAAAAAAACGTAACTCACCGGTTGACGGAGGAGACTCCATCCCGCACGAGACCGTTCATTGTGCGTAGTCCTGTGCGCGTGAAATCACCCTTGGGAATATCAGGCAGAAGGTGTGCACGTTTAGCAAAACTCACATTGACTAGCTTGAACAAATCAGGCAGACTGTCTCCAATAACAGAAGAAAAAGAAAAATAGGGCATCTGTGATCGCGGTGAAAGGATCAGATAGACGCAATAGACTCCGTTTGATGCAACCCAAAAACATACTGCCACCCACTAAAACTCCAGCAGTTGTCTATCAAATACGTTGTAACGATGGAGACTGCAACTACGTTGGGGAAACCGGACGGAAATTGCAGACCAGCCCACATGAGCACAAACTGGCAACTCGGGGACTAGACCCAAACTCACAGGTTGCAGCTCACATCGGGCAAACTGGTCACAGTTTTGATTTTCAAGGAGCAGCCGTCTTAGGCAGGGGCACCTCAAGGACAGAGCGTCTCATACTCTAGGCTTGGTACTCAGATGCCAACTCCATCAACAGGCATCTAGACCTTCCTTCGGCCTATAAAGTCCTACGTCACTGCATACGACGTGACGAAGACAAGATAGTCGCACGGAGCCTAAGACTACCGAGCAAACATGGCCTGTCGACCAATTCACCCACAAGGGGGACGCAAACGCAACTGACCCAAATTGCGGTGACGACACACAATAGAGGAGGCCACCAACACTCACAGGCGACGGCCAGTAGGCCAAGGCAGCGAAAAAAAAAATCGACCAGCCCAAGGCCAACTAATTCGGCTGTCTGTTCAAAATTCTGATCAATTTTTGCACTAGACGTTTTGATCATGGAGAGCCGCCCCAGCTCTTCCAAAACGTCAGTCAAACAAGTCCCTCGATCCAGTGAGCACTTCCATTTCATCAGATTATCTACCCGGATCTCTTACGTTTGCTAACCTGAGCACTAGACTCCGAGGCGTCCTAAGTAAAAAATGGACGGAGTCCATACAGGCGAGGATGTGAGCACCCGCCTGACTCCAGTTTTTAAATAGCAAGTTTTTAATTTCCTCAGAGGTAACAATCGGGAGAGGACACCCAAATAGCTGTTGCCTAGAAATAATACCTGCTATACCTATTTGAGTAGGTGGCTAAATCTCCCCTAGTTCAGAAACGATCGCTGTAGACCGACCATTGGTTTGCCATCCTTCACATATGCTTGCTTAGGTCACGAGCGACGACATTAGTCCGTTTGCGGCTTACTTTAGAACAGCATAGCTTAGGAAAGTTGGGTAATGATCGCTTTAGACCAATCCTATGTTTACCAACCTTGACATTAGCTTCCACAGCTGAAGAGCGAGCACAGTAGTCGATATGCGGCTTACTCGATGGTAGCATACGTTCAAACATTTGCGATACGATGGTTGTGGACCGGCCCTTTGGCTTATCCATCATGACCATTTCTTCCTTAGGTGAGGAATGACCGCAGTTGTAGGTATGCGGCTCAATCTATGGCACCATACCCTTTGGACAGTAGCAAAACGATCGCTGTAGACCCACCCTACGTTAAACAACCTTAATATAAGCGTCCACTGCTGACAAACGACCGCAGTAGTCCCTATGCGGATTATTCTATAGTAGCTTAACTACGGACAATTGCAATACGATCGCCGTTGACCGAGCACTTGGATTATCCATTTTTACCATTACTTCCAGACGTCAGGAGCTTTCGCAGTCGTCAGAGTGCGGCTCAGTCAATGGCTGCATAGCTTGGGACAGTTGCGATAAGATCGCTGCTTTGGCCGGCAGTATATTTTTGGGTGCCCTCTCCCGATTGTTACCTCCTCAGAAATTAATCGCTAAATCGTAGTAAGTCAGTCTATTTGAGAATTATAGGCTCAGACTCGAATTTGATGAGGATATTTGGATCGAAATCCATCAGTTACAACAGAATAACCGCGTACTGTTCATGAACTGCTGTAGTCCACAGGGAACACTGGGGAACCCACTGACGAGCCGAACATCGCGCGGCAATGTCATACAGCAGTAGAAAGTCGGCAAAACGGGTGTCTGGGCTTTAAGCTAATACATGTGGTGTCAATCATGGTATATCGTGCAGCCTATGCATATACTACTGGCTGCCTGTTGGCAGTATGCAAATATTACGCGGCTATTTCGCCGTGGCTGATGGACATCGGCCCAAATATTCACACATCAAATTCCCGTCTGAGCCTACAAGCCTCAAGGAGACTGATTTTACTCCAAGTTGGCGATTAATTTGTGAAGGAATTAGAAACTTGAAATACCAGGGAGCAGTTCAGAAGAGGGAGACGCGATCGCTGGAACAAGAGTTTTATTCGTTGACGTTTCGGGTTCACGCTAGGAGTGGACACCACAGACTGGATCAGATAAGGGTAATGGGTGCACAGGGGTTGCAGTATTTGTTAAATGCGGTTGCTATGCCAGGGCACAACTACTGGCGGTCCACGCTTTCATCATAAATGATTGCCCTTGGGGCGATAATGCCCTAATTGCCCACAGTCGAGTTGGTAATTGTGACAATTACATAACTTGTGTTGATTATTGGCTCGGCTTACCGACACTGGCAACGGTAAAAGTGCTCGCTCCAGCACTCCCCTCCCGGCTAATTATTCTGCACAGGCAAAGTCCCTGCATAGAATAAGCAGGGCGGATGTAACTGCACTCGTTAATCGACTGCGAACGATTCGTGCAGCTCGCGGCTCACGTGGCTGTTACTTCTTGTGAGAATTTCGACCTCATTAAACCTTAATGTGCAGTTGAGTCCCGTCTAATAAGCCGGAACTTGAGAATCGATGTTCTGCCTCCTCACTGCTGCTGCGTGCTCGGCTATTCGCGTCAGGAACGTCAGGCGGATAACCCTTTTGCTCCATGGATAGAGTAATCGATGTAGATTTTCAAATATGGACCCGACTTGTTCCTGTCCAGGGCAGCCGTCGGCAAACAACTAAGCCGAGGACATGGGTAGACTAACATGGAAGCGGAGAGCCGAAAACGCATCGAAAACGCGAGCGAGGAGCTACTCATTCGATAAGACCCAATCAGGACGTAAAGTCCCATAAAGTCGAAATCTCCGCGAGGCGTGAGAACAGTGATCGCGAACTGATGGAGTCTTGGATCTTTTGCCCACAGTTGACCAACCGCCCTCGCTGCCTGCAGTTTTAACACCTATTCCCGTGAACACGGGGAGGGGAGGCAGATGAACATCCGTACCGGTGCGTAACAGAACAGACTGAAGGCAATTCAGCAAACGTCGAGCCAATCACCACCATTGGCAATGAAAGCTCGACGATTAACGTGACTTGGGCGTGGTCCATTAGGCCATTGTTGCTGCAATTACGAAAGTCTGCCACGAATGCGCGAGCTATTAGGCCTGAGGAGGCACGTGATTGGGTGGCTAGTTGGGAGAGGGGCTCGGACGGCCGATTGCTGCACGGGGGTAGAAATAGGGACTGAGGCTAACGATTAAGAATCCATCCGCCACAGCAGACCAGCGCATTGCCCTCTATCATAAAGTTGACACACTCGAAGTACTCGCGCCGCGCTAGGGAGTCGAAGTTTGGAAAGTTGCCAGCTGACGTTATAACTTGATCAGGCTCGACGTGGTCTTTACGGCACGCCCACGCAATGTGAGATCTGAGCGCTCTCATGATGGCTTGGTACGGGCTATTGGGGTCAGGTCGTGCGTGGGACGCGTAGACGGGTCGTCCGACTTCGTCCGTCACGGCGCCCGTGCTCACTTCCGGTCGTCCTGACGTTATCTTGACACCGAGCCCAGGTGGGTGAGGGGAGAGAGGGTGTGATGGGTACTGTAAAAGTCTACTATTACTACAAGGTTATTCACATGAAAGTCACTGGTGCTGAGCCAGTGTACGCAGTCGCCTGGTACGGTCGAGCTGATACATCTAATGAATGCCTTCTCCCGCCTCCGGTCTCCTGGATTATGTCTTAAAACCGGGTCCAGGTAGGGAAGGAGGAGAGAGTGCGGTAGATGCAGTGCAAGCTTACTATCACTATAAAAGAAGTCACGCGCATGTCACCGCGCCTGCTCTCACCTTGCTGTGGAGCACATGGTGGACATGGTGGCAAGTAAAGCTCTTGTCCCAGCGATCGTGTCTCATTCTTCACGACTGCTTTCACGGACCTGCCTGTTCGCTTCTCGAAGGCAGACCGTCTTTTTGATAAATCAGCCTCTCGACCTCTACCCCAAAATGTTATTGAATGTGGTAGAAGCTTCCTTACTGAATCCTCATTCAACTTTATTCCTATACTCCAAATATAAGCTCCTTTTCAATGTTAACCACGTGTTCCACCTGAGATGCTGTGGTCGCGTGACGCAAATGAGGGCGGGTGGGCTCAACAGAAACCTTCGCGTGTTTAAATTTACTCCCAGTTATTGCGTGAACTGGGAGTGAAGTTCTAGGGTCAAACGTCCTCAGGTCTGATCTGAAATTTTACGTTAGTAACTGAGTCGAAATCGTCCGCCTCACTGGAATAACTGGGCGATATTCGCAACTGATCAGTACTTAGTCAGCATTACATGAACAGGCACTGAGATGCTTTTGCTGTACCCGCAAAGGACGTGGTAAGAAGCTGGTTCCCTGTTTTGTAAAAGTTGAACGCGTTATGACCGAGAAATCAGAGCAATGGTGGAAGGGCGCTCGCCGATCGCGCTATGGAAGTCACTTGTCTCGTTGCGTTTCCGCGCGCGCTCTCTCTCTTGAGCTCCACCAGAAGCCACACAGCGGCAGAATAGCATTACTAACAAAGACAAGGGAGACAGGAGTGGCTATTTCTGGCTTATAAGCCGTCGTCAGCCAGTCATACCCAACTCCGAAATGTCGAACAACTGGGGCTCGATCCCGCGACCTGTTGGTTAGAAGTCCTCCAGCGTCCCTAATGCTATTCTGCCTATATTACGCGCCGCTTTGTGGCTGCTGGTGGGGCTGGAGGAAAAATCAGGGACTCTGGTGTCTCGAATGATTAAAGTTACCTCACATGATTTTAGAACCCCCTGACGAATGCTGCTGTGGTTGCTTGCCAAACGATACTTGCAACCCCTCACCAAAGAATGAGACGCCCAGCGGCAGAAATAGAAATATCATGCCGGATTGGCACACAAGTGTTGACAGATGTTTTGGCAGATTTTGAATAATTCATATTGACCCAACTGTGAAAAACTCGGCGCCTCGGTGGGATTCAAACCCACGCAGTAAGGGAAAGGCTTCAGTGCAGCCAACGATCTAACCAATTGAGCTACGAGGCCCCGCCGGACGACGCGTGTTTAATCACATTTGGGTCAATATGAATTATTCAAGATCTGCCAAAACATCTATGAATTACGCACGCCTGGTAGTCATCTGGTGGATTCTAGGTGAATTACTTAGGAAATCCTGCCTGGGCAGTCAACTTACTGTATCAGATTTGGTGGATTCCAGACGTTGCAGTAGGTTGGGCGGCTAACTTGACCCAAATGTAATTAAACCCAAGTCTCCCGACGGGGCCTTGTAGCTCAGGTGGTTAGAGGGTTGGCTGTACTAAAGCCTTCCCCTTACTGCGTGGGTTCGAATCCCACCGAGGCGGCGAGTTTTTCACAGTTGGGTCAATATGAATTACACAAGTTTTGGTTACACAGTCAATGGCTCAGCCTTCTCCAGAATGCATAAGACGTTGGGGCTCATTCGACGAGATCCGGCCACACGTTAAAATTTGACGAGGCCGAAATTCTCGCTAGAGGTGACAACGGAGTGAGCCGGGAGCTGCTTGAGTCATGGTTTACTGGCCCCCCGGCCAATTAACAAGTGCAATGACCTTCGACTCCCATAATCGGTGCTGAAACTTCGCCTAGGCGGTGTAATTAGCCACGCGGGGAGCGCACAGGTGAACACTTTCTCCAACTCCAGGGTCGGTGCATCAGATGGTCGAGCAATCACCACACCAACATCCAACGCACGTGATGAAATTGCAGCAATTAACGACGCGAATGTCGGCCATCAAACAGTCATCACACCAAGAGCGACGATCCCGGATGAAGGGGGGAGCCGTGAATGGTCATAGATATGCGGTAGCATGGCGACTGCATCCTCTAAATACTGCAGCCCCTTGTGCATGAACCACCCCTATCTGCTTTCGTCTCTGATGATGGGTTCGAGCAGGAATCCGAAACGTCAGGTTAATAAAGCTCTTGTTCCAGCGACCGTGTCCTCTTCTTCAAGGGACTCGTCTCTTCGCTTCTATTGGCGACGTTGAGGGCTATTAGTTCTGACCCCATATGTGGGCCATCTCACGTGCCTAGGGGGGGGGGAAGGGGGAGGGGGGGGGGCGGGGAGGTGACAGTCATGCGACGTCTCTGACAGGTGACACAGACCGCCAGGCTGAGAAGTCTTCAGGAGAATAAACCGGAGTGCACTGTGGCAGAATGAGGGGCCACCGCGGAGACATCATCAACATCACACCTGAATGAGCTGGGGCGATGGACCAGGTTGGAAGCCGCGGTAGAAGTGAAGGGTTGATACAGTGTTAGGCACATCGAAGTGGATGTCCAAAAGTCTAGAAGTAGTGTTTTACTGAGCTGGTTGCGGATGATGACAGCCTCCATCCTCAATGCCGAAGGGTATCAAATTCAAGTCCCCTCTGGTGTTTGTATAGCGATGTAGAGGATGCGCCGACAGGAATGCTGCTTCCAGCCTACTAGCCGTCGCCAGTCGGCTATATCCCATCCCAAAACCGCGATCCTCTGATCATTGGGTATTAAGTTAGACGCATTGCCACTGAGCCATGGGTTCGTCGCCCACTTGACTGTGATCTAAACTCATTACTGTGGGATTTGCACGAAGCAGAACATGCTGACTCCGAAACCAAAAATATCCTCCCAAAGCCGGCAGTTGAAGAGCGAACGGGTTGCAGCAACTGGAAAAATGTAATGAGATCAGAAAGCCACTTCAAACAGATATTTTAAATTTTGCGCGGTGGTTGCTGGAGGAGCTTACTTGCTTGAAGCTGAAAAGGGCTAGATCGCAGTTGGTAGCCAGGCGCCGTATTACAAGTGGCTGGGGGGAGGGGGGGGTCGTTTACTGGGGCTATTTTGTGGGGCTCCATAAGCACATCTGACCCGTTTGGCTTCCGTTTTACGTTTGAGGTTAGGATTAGGGTACCGGTTAATGGTTTCCGAATTTCGGGTTAGAGTTGTGCCTTTAGGTTTGGGTTTTCAGTTTACGGTTAGAGTTTGAGCGTACGAATAGGTTTCAGCATTATGGTTAGGTTTCTCAGTTACGGCTATGCCTAGGAACTATGGTTACGTTTACGATTTCGGTTAGGATTGCCGTTAGGGTTAACGGTTAATGTTTAAGGTTGGACTTGGTGTTAGGGTTAAGGTTAGGATTAGAGTTAAGGTCGCCGTCCGCTTCCCCACTCCTGGCTACCACCTGCGATCTAACTCTGAAAAGGCCTTATAAATAAGGGGTCAAAGTGACTCACCTTCATGGCTACTGTTCCCGTGTACTGCCGACTCAGCGCATCGCCATTGTTGGCCCAGAGGCCCTGCAGCATTCGATGAAACATGATTGGCAGATCCTCGTCAATTGACAGCAGGCCCAACTTTCGTAACTGAAAAGATAGATAAGATGCTGGAGCATTCGCTTCGGTGGGGGAGCAGGGAGCGGGATAAAAAAAGCCCAAGAGGGGACATGGAAACAGGGAATTCCAGGAAGAGTACCTATCCCGTTCGAAAACGGTAGCCCGTTTTTGAGGGGAGATTTGATTGTTCCAGGGCATACGACCCCTTCTATTACGACCTTTTCTATACAACTACATGTTTTATGCATTTCATCAAGAGAATATCACATATTTCTGCACGTTTTAAGGAAGAACGCATATAAAACTCATAAAATTGCGCAATAAATTTTGGGCCGGGTTGTGTGATTTATAAGTAGCATAAACAAAAATTCTGATGCAATAGTGTATGAATATACATTTCGCGGTCTTGGAAAACTAGAAACATCTTTGAAACCGTAAGATACTATTTCTATGACTATAAAATTTATAAAGACATGATTTTTTACCGAATGAGCGTATTTTGTGCACGTTTTCTATAAAATATAATTGAAGTTACAAGGGCATTGAAAATCAATGGGGAGAATTACCGCTGTTTTAGTAGTTATCTTTTACGAAGTATAGTTTCTTCAGGTGGTCGGAAAGCTCATTCAAAAGCCGGAATCCTGCGCTGACTAAAAATGTCCTAGGGTTATGCTGCACGATAAACAACCCTACGTAAACAATATTTTTAAATCGAAACCAGATATCGGAATCTGGGTTAACGTTTCATGAGATAGCACAGTTAGGCATGGATTTCAGCAAAGGGGGGGGGACGAGCGGCTTTGTTTTAGTTTATCCGCCTAAAGCTGATAATTTTTATTTTTTCTCTCCTTTTCTCCTCAGCCCGTCTCATTCACACGCAAAAGAGGATTTATACAAGAAAAATCTGTCCTATAAGTGCAGAGCAGACGACATCGACCTCGCCAAGGACGCACAACGCTGAAAATGTAAAACTCACTCTCTTGTTACGGCATTTTTTACCCTTTTTTTAATTTTACACTCCTCGACGACTCGGATCCTGATAACCAACCTGTCTTCTCCCCAAGAAATCGCGCCCTCGCGCGAATTACTTGCGCACGGGCTGCCGGTGACAGGATTTTCGTTCTCGGCCTAAAAGTCGGCGCTCTGAAACTGTTCAGTTAGTATTGCGCCCGGTCAAATACAACGCTGTAATGAGAGCAGCACTTGGCTCTCAAACGGTTGGCGAGAAAATGGCTGAATTAATGACCGGAAGGGCAGCATTAGATGGAACGCCGTTGCAATGCGAGGCGATCGATAACCCATACGCATCCATTAAGGACTCGATGAAAAGATACGCAGTACATGAATGCTGAAGACGAGGAAATGAGGAGGCGAGAACCAGTCTGAAAACTCGTTCTATCCATTAAGCGAGTCTTTCCGGCCCTCAACGGCTGGATTCGTTCTCTGAACACGCGGTGAGACGACTCATCGGGCGCACGGACAGCGACCCGGCCAAAATGTACTCCAGTGATTCAAGGGGGTTTTGATTGGTCAACCGGTATCCGTGTGTAAGAACAAAGTAAGAAGTTCGGAGTTTGTCGGAAGAAGTTATACAAAAACTGCTGGCCAATTGGCGACCGGAGTCCCACACTCCGATCACCCATTGAGGCGACTTGATACCCCCGCTCGTGTTAACATCCCCGCAGTGGCAAAGTCGCAGGTGTGATTATGCTCTTCTATGTACCAATAATGCCCCCCCCCACCAGTCGACGGCAACTTTGTGACTCCGCTTGCGTATTTGGCGGGGCAGTCAACGCAGGGGATGCGGCCATTATCTGCACGTCTTTGACGATGGACTGAAGAGCGAGAGTTAAGACTAATGAAGCATTTCTCGCTGTGCACTCACCTTTTCCTTACAATTTCCGGTAGGACTGACTGATATGGTCACCTAAACAGGACATGGGAAAATAGGAACGCCCCGCCCAGGTAATAAAGGAGACCTGCGCATAATTCCGGATAGGGCAAAATATTTCCCAAAAATGACCCTGATATAAAACTTAACAGCTGCCTTAATCTTAACTCTAGCCCCACACTAAACCTCAAATCAGCAGGTAAAACTAGTCTCTACATTCTTGATCCTGACAAACCTCACCGTTAACTTTAAATCAAACCCTAAACCTAATCTCTAACTTAACCGCAACCCTTATTTAACTGGAAGTGAGCTCAAAGCCACCCGTATTGTGGGCGGTTCCAGATCTCGTGTCCTGTTTAGAGGACCAAATAGGTCAGTCTTGCCTAATTTCCGATATTTAAAGCAGGCATGGACAGCAGAATTTATTGGTACCAGTAAATTTCGCGACGGCTTATCAACTGCAGCCTGTCGTTGCATAACACAGATAACAAGTGAGAAAGATACAGAGGTTTGAACTTCGACAGAGAAAATCAATGTAAAACAGCAAGGTCATCGTATACTGCATGTAGACTAGTCAGTAAAATGATAACTTCAAAACGCAAGATAGGAATGAAAATGGGGAAGTAAGCACGCCGAGGGATTTCGAAAATCAAAAAGGCTCAGACCTACCAGGGAAAGCTGAGATTGACCACGTGGTCTAACTGTTTACACAGGTCGGGTTTCTCCCGCCGTATTTAGGCTGCCTCCAGGTAGCGCAATAACCGAGTACTTCGTGCTCGAACTAATACTCGAAAAGACGTTTTGGGGTCAACCGAATGGCCACTATCAAGGAGATGTTTTGTAATAGAAGACCGTAGAATCTTATCCTCCTGCTTTAGAAGCCATTTAGGCAGGTGCTCAACTGACCTGGCTGCCAGTTGTTTTTGCGTTCGCCCAATGTATCCACAAGTGCATGCAAATTCGTAAACACAATTTGACGTGGCCTGCAATGGCAGGGCAGCCTTCGCCCGTGGAACTTGGATAGCCTTAGTAGGATTGCAGAATATGGTACTGGTACCAATAAATTCTGCTGTCCATGCCTGCTTTAAATTCATTCCGGGGAAATAATGCTTCTAATTTCCGATAGCATCATTCAGTATACGGTGCGTGGGCGTGCCATGCTTGCGCTGCTATTTACGCCGGTACTTTCGAGGACAGCGAATATGATGTAATTTTGCGCCGAAAATCAAACATCCGGAGTTACGCGTTCAGGCTGCAGTCTTCCCGTGAAGCTTGTTTTGCAAAAAAACGCAGTCCTGTGGGAAAACTTTACGGTTGCCAGTAGAAGATTTTTTCGTCTGCTCTAACTTTAAAATGTGACGTAGCTTTCAAGAAAGACAATCAAAGGGTAAGTGAAGAGAAAATAGGAAACTTTATAACGAACATTGAAGGCACCAATCAGTCAAAAATTGTACAAGGAGGAGTGTTGCGGAACAACAAGACAGCCGTCTATTGGTAAACAGTACCTGCGTTTCAATTACGAGACTGCCAAAGACGCTTTGGACGAGGTTAGTTCGATCCAGACAGTCGACACAGTTCACTCGAAATACGTCGTCCTGCTTCGAAAGTAGACCGTCATGCGTGAGCCTTGGAGAGGACACAAAAGGTTGTCGATGAAAATGCTACTTAAAACATTTACGGGAAGGAATGATGAGCACGGCAGACATGCGCAGTGAGAAGTGTCAGATGCTCTGAACGCTAATCTCCGTTTACATCATTGCCGATGAAAAGACAAGGTCAAGGGGGCCCCGAAGGTCGGCTTGTGCGCTGACAGAGAGACTGACAAAGACAAAGAATCCGCCTGGGATTGCCAGACACAATCTGATCCCTCATACCACAAGGATAAGGCGTCGATCGGGCAAAAGTGAGTTCGCAGGAAGTGCCCTCAGCTGGCGCCCTTTCAATCCTTGAATGTCAGCCCGTTGTCTTAATTTTATGGCGCGTTAGATTACCGGCGGCGAATAACTTGAGCGCTGCCTCCGACCTCACTCTCGCTCCCAACCGGCCTGTCCCAAACCTCTCAGTCGACTGATCAGGTGGGACGCTCTGACTAGCGTGGCCTGAAAACCGCCATCCACTAGGGGTTAAATTTTCACAAAAACAGGTTCCTTCCTTAGGATCGAGGAGAGCGAAGTGCTTTCATGAGGCGAAAATCGCGTGACTAGCGAGTTCTTCCAGTCACGGTTCCCTGGAATGGCGTGAAACAACAAACACATCCATCAGCACCACCGCCCCCAGTCGGTGCAGTATTAGTAACCTGCGCGCAGATGAATACCGAACCGGGAGGGTGGTAGTCAGAGGCAAGATAGCCGAGTAATTATCGCGCTAAAAGCAAAAAAGAGAAAACTGTGATTGGTGGATTGAGGCGAAGCCAATTTTGAGGCCTGGATGGAGACGCGTGACAGCACAAATGGGGCTCTTCATTCAAGCCTCAGAGACAAACCGAGAACCCGGCAAAACCGCAGGCGGGAGACGGGGGGAAGTAATTCTGTTAATGCCCGACCATTTTAGATCGCTAATAGGAGGAAAAAAATTTGAACAAAACAGCGGCCACTTTTGCTAGATCAAAACAAACGAACACCCCTGGGATTCTAGTCCGCGATAAAGGACCATTAGTAATAAAATTCGGGCTCACGCCCGACAACGAAGCTAGCCTAGTGATGGCTGAAATTGGTCAGAACGGGACAAGGGTATGGTTTAGTTT